AGTGAAAGCCTTAAAAACCTAATGCAGTGAAGGCAGAAAATACTAAACTTTTCAAATCCTCATTTCTCTCATGGCCTTTTGCTCACCCCAGTCTCCTAGCACTTTTTTTTCCTTAAGAGACATTATGTGTTAGGAGAGCAAAGCAGCCTGGGGAGGTGATATTTTACCATTGTCTGTGCCATTAATGCAGTTAAAAAATCCTCAGACTGGAAAAATCAGACAGATGCATCTTCCAGGTTCACATGTGCCAACTCCATCTGTTAAATCATTAAAACACAGGCTTGGCAGATTCTGGAGAAAAACACATTTGTTTTCACTATAAAGAGGAAGAGTAAACTTTCTTTCTGTTCTTACAATTTCCCCCTCCCCCATAATTACTTTAATGTGAAAGTCTGCATGAGTGGGCACTATTTAACATGCTACTGAAAGAGGTTTTCATTGCATTGGGATGTGTATGTGTCAAATTATATGTCATAATCTGGGTTAGTCAAAGAACTATTAAACCAAAGTCTATAGCTACATTGAGATGCTTAATCAGTTGCCTTCTTATTGCATATATCATGTTACAGCACCTATTTAAACACTGATTTTCCTTACAAGAATGAACCTCCTCAGGATAATTTTAAAGGTGCAGTTTAAATAAGGAGTAGTAAATCAAAGAAGCTGCCAAACCTTGAATAAAGTAATTGATAACAATAAACCTTTTCCCAAATCTATAATGAAAAAAATACCTTCTGCTTTCAGGATAAACAAAGGTAACAAAACTGTAACCTGAATTTAATACCAGCATCCTATATTTTCTCAATATCAAAACTACTGATATTGGAAAAATAGATTTATTTGGTCTTTTTTCTACTACAGTCACTGTACAGTCATTCTGCACTATGGTAATGTTATCTGTAGTGTACACATCTAAATATTGAGCATTTGGAATGCACCTAAGTATAAAATAGGATGAACCCAGCCATAAGTATGACAATGTGAATAATTTAAATCCCAAGACCTCCTACAGCTACTATTGCAACAGATTGCTGCTGAATGCATTTCTTTCTCTTGGTATTCTACACAGGAACAGAATTTCATTCTCCAGGCTTGTTACTTCAAGTAACATATATCCTATTTAAACCCAGCAATGGTGTTTGGAAGTTTTGTCTTTTCTGTGTTTGCTTGCAGTTTTGCAACTGTTTTATATCATCATATTATTAACAGTGGTTCTCTCTGTAGCACCCTTAACAGCAAAGTGGAGAAATGAAAAGCTATTTGGCATCAAGACACCTGCTTCTACAAAATAAATGTGTTGCCATAAAGGATATTCCACTGCACTATCCTGAAGTTTCCCCAAGTCATGCCCCCTGCCATCCTGTGCATCAGGGCTCACAAAACAGTTTCTTCAGCCCTGAAACCAAGATCTCACTTTCTGTATTCCCTAACTGCAACCTTCAGTTCTGTCCATAGTACCCACAGTGGCTGGAGGAGCTGCATTTCTTTCCCAAGAAGTGCATGAAACACTTCTTTGACTGGAACTGGCAATTCTGCTTTTTGGTCATGCAACCCCATCTTTCACCCTCCTCTCCACCAAAGAGCTTCAGAAAAACCTGATGGGACCTACCCCACCCAGCTCTCTTTGCACAGAACTGATGGGGCACTGTGCACTCTGCTATCAACAACTGTAAGTGTGATTCTTTTATTTATGGGCTCGCAGAAGAGTTCTTAGAACCTGGGAAAACTGCAGAACCACTGCTTTGAGTCATCCAACACTTTCCTAAATGTGCTCTTTCACACTGCTTCCACACCCCTTACACATGGCCAGGCTCTGCCCCAGTAACCCATCACAGCTTCCCCACTGAAGATCAACTTTGGTTGGGATTAAGCGGAACAGAAAGAGTTCCTCCAGTATTTCTCAACATAATATTTACAACCTTGCCCCTTTTATTGTTTCAGCATCATTTCACTGCCTGAGCTGTGCTCAGACAGGCAGAGCACAATGTGAGAGCACCAAATAAAGCAAATACAGGCATATCACAGAACACACAACAGGGAGAGAGCTTAAAGCATTTTTCAACAAAAACTGTTACTGCAAGTATGGACTTTCTTTCTAGCAAGTATTCTGATTTATGCACTCAGAGAATGCACAGGGAAATGTATCTAAAAGAGACAATCATTTCATCACATTACAGCTACAAATAGAGAAATCTGAACTTATAGCAAATACTCTCAAATTAGAATACAATTAGATGCTGATATTCCATCATCACCTGCAATCGCCCTCAAGGGAAGCAAAATTGCATGAGACTAACAGAACATTGACTTGGTTTAAAATTTACAGGAGGTTCAAAAAACTTTCACAAGCATTTTACCTCAGAAACAATGTGCTACTTATTCTTCCTAGCAATGATTTTTCACATAGCATTCTGGGATCAAAATGTAATTTCAACAATAACATATTTTCTGACATTCTTCAAGGAAAAATTACTGGTTTCTTCCCTCTAAAAGGATTTAGATGGAATAACATCTGTGTTGAGATTATTGTGAATATGTTAAACTGACAGCAAGTCTCTAAGGGGCACTGCTCATTAATGTTCTGTGCATAAAATTAAAACTTGAAATATATTTTTCAATCCTTTTTGAATCATTTAAGCAATTCTCATGCAAAGAAACTATTGTGCTGCAATAATATATTTGCAGAGTAGGATATGAAAGCTATTAAAATGTCCTAGACCCCCTGCCTTTCAGGCAAAAGGAAAAAAGGAGACACTTTCTGATTTGAAATATGCACTGTATTGAAACAAAAAATACTTTCACAGACCATGAAGAGTTTTATTTCAGTGTATACAACGCAACAAAAATTTAAAATTGTGTCCTTTTCCTTCATCTTTAATTCATATTGTGCCTAGGTACTTCAGCACAGAGCAGCAGGAGAATTCTGTTAAGTGTTGCACACTGGCATTTACAAGATATTTTTACCCTGAGCAGCCTACAAGTGGGGCCATATTCTTGGAAACTGCAGTAGGGCAGCATTCTGCCAGCTCTCTGCAACCAGGGCTGGGGAGTTGTGCTCAGAGACAACACCAGTTACTAAAGGATTTTAATACAAACATCTGCTCCAGTTTGAAGGTGACAAAGGTCTCCATGGCAGCAGAAGAAATAATTTCGCTTGGAGGGCATGTATATTTATTCCACCAGGTACAACAGAAATGTAAGTGTATCCATCAGGTTTAGCGTAAAGCTCAAACCCAAACAAAGTCCAGAGAAATGTGCATAAAGCTGTAGCTGCAAATGCCATTTTATGGAGGAAAAAAAGAAACACATTACTGTTGAGAAAACAGACATACCCTCACTGTTTCAAAAGCCACTGGGTAAGTACAGCCACAAGAGGATGACAGTTCTAAATTTTGCCACAACATATGATTCTAACCAAGCCATTGGGTTCCTTCCATAAATGGAAATTCAGGAACTCCAATTAACATATTAACAAATTCTTGATGTGATAGACTTTAGCAGGTTTTTTGAATGAAGCCTGAGCTTATAGTGTCAATGGGGTTTTGTTGCTTAAATCACAGTAACCATAACAAGGCAGTCTCAGGCTGCCTACCTCTGAAATACTATTTAAAAGCAAAAGCCACTGAAGTTATGCTCACAACCTCCTCTATTAGATTCCACACCCAATATTGCAAATCACAGACCAGCAAGCATAGAACTCCCAGTACTAATTAATATTTCTGGTAAACATGTTCAATGCAAGAGCCTCAGCAGAGATACACAAATGGAAGTATAAACCCTCAGCAAACAGCTTCATTCTCAGAAGTGCCGTGGAGGGGAAGACACAAGCTCAGTGTAGCTGAAGGAAAATCTGTGAGGATAGCAATGCTCAGAGTGTGAAGTGCAGGCCTTCAGGAACACGAACAGGGAACAGGGACCGGTGCTCTGCGGGTTTCCTCGGGGACATCAGCATCCCCCCGCCCTCCCTGCTGTTATCGCCCATCAGCGTGGAGCATTTGTTCTACTTTCCCAGCCAGCAGCCTCGTCAGAGCACTGCCGGTGGCCTCGGCAGAGCTGCCAGACATCCAGCGAAAGCTGGAGCACCGCAGGAAGGTTTGGGAATTACTGGTCACACACTTGTTAGAGACACAGCTCTGGGATAATTCCCCAAATCGCAAGCACGTGTGTGCTATTCATGGTGCACACACACGTGGGACACCGCCCTGTCTGAACTACCCCACAGAAACCAGCATTCAAACACCTCTCCCAGCAGGAACCAGCGCTAGAGAAGCTGCACAGCCCCCTGTGCTAGAGCTGCTCCCACGAAGAAAGAATTACTGGGTCCATAACACCCATCTCTCCATAAGAAAGTGTGTTTCTGTTCTGCCAGACCTTTACAGTCGCTAGTTTGTTTCACAACCGTTCAGATAACAAGTACACAATTCAAAGCCTCATTTAGTGACAAGTTCTTATCAACCTGCAAGCTTTTACATCACTAAGGAGAAAAACGGTCACACTTTCTCATTGGCAGTGTTGCTTTCCCATTTCCCAATGGCAGTTACTACAACTCATGGTAAGTAACAGTGTTACAACACGGGCTGAGGACAAAGTCGGATGAAGAATCTCCCAAGCACTTTCATGCACTTCACACCTGGGTCTACCCAAAGCTGAGAGAGTCCTTACCTGGCTAAGGCTGCTCTAGAAGTAAATCTCAGCATATTCAGTGGGAGATAATCACAAACAAACAACTCTTACAAACATTTACAAAGAACTCAAAAGACAACAGGTTTGTTTCCTACAATCATTTCAGAGTATCCCATAGAAAGCTTTTGCATGCTCATCTGGACTCTTTTCTCCATAAACAAGCAATATAAAAAACCTTAACATTTTCCTATCAGGGCAGACATGAGATTTCCAGAAACCAAAAATTAACTCAGATCTTGAAGACTCCGAACATCAACAAAGCCACAGTTGCATCACAGTTCTTTTGCAGCAGGAGAAGTTTAAAGATATCCACCTACCCTGAGTTGTTCACTTCAGCTCAGGCATCACCTTTTCCTGTCTCCGTTCTGTCTGCTGCCTTGATTGCAGAAGCACAACTGCTCGTGGAGCTGTTCTGTGAAAAACATAAAAACACTGAGCTGACTTTCTCTTTCTGCACAGTCTGTTTAAGTCAGTTTGGTCCCCTGACCTATTTCACAGAGCAGTACCACCTGTATTTGTGTCAACACAACATCCTGAAGCTTTGGAAAAATCGGGAGCCTCGTGCGCTGCCTCATTATGTGCTGCTGGAAGCATTTGTACAGCTGAACAGAAAACTGCATTTGGGTTAATGCACATTGTTTGCCACTGCTCTCAAGTTCTAGACAGGTTGTAAATTCTGGAAGAACAGTTGTAAGTTCTGAAAGAAGAGCAGCACTACTGAGCAGCTGAATAATTGGCTATTCCTAACTGGAAACATTAGAATTTCAGCATTTATGGCAACATCCAGATTAGAATTTACCCATCTTAGAAGATCTAGGATTCATGAATCACAGAATATTCTGAGTTGGAAGGGGTCATCGATCTGAAGCACCAAGCATTGAGACTTTATTCTATTTAAACATGATACATTAAGTGATGGAGTGTCTTCTTCAACATTTGTCAGGTGATGACAAACGCTGCTGTTTGTAGCTACAAGATCCAGACTTCCAGCAAATGATTTTGGAATCTCAAGGGACCCATATTCCTGTCATTCAGTATCGTTATTAGCTCATTAAAATCCTATTTCACTTTTTTCTCATAGTGCAAGTGCAATTCTAATATTGCCCTCTGCTCATAAGAACTTAGGATCTAAAACTACTCATTTACTACATTCTCTCATCTGAAAAATAATTAAGTACAGAAAAGAGAAAAGCTTGAACATTCTAAAGTTCTATTTTCACAGTGTTTGAGCAGGAAGTTTCATCTTTCTTGACAAATGCTACTGCAGTTTAAGCCCTGACACAGTAAGCTACAAATTTGATTGTTTCATTAACAAATTACTTTTTTCACAGAAAGCATCAGTGCAATAAGAGGGCTCCTGAGATAAATGTGACTAAGCAGCAGGAGTTAATTAAGTAGGACAATGAGTAAGCATTTATGGGTGTGATACGAGACTCAGATGATTTAATTGCTAGTCTAATTATCAATTAGAGAATCAAGAAATGGCATGTAAGTGAAATACTCCATTTGTTGATACTTTAATGATTTTAGAGACCCAGAAGAGCAGTATTAATTGCTATTTTAGGACTACTGAAGGAGTTTTTATTCTCCTCTTACTCAAATAGAGTAATGACTAATAAATGTATATAGTCTTCTCATACTTAAGTATTTAAGGCCTTTAGGTCCTTCACTCTATGAAAAAAAAAAAAGGCTAGTAATTAAGCATTCAAACACACTGCCTATAAACCACTCATCTTAAGTCCAAACCTTTCTGAATTTATTTTGTAATAAGGATAATAACTGCCCATGGTGTTAGAGAGCCCCATTAACTATTTACAGTGTGTTTGCACAAGTCAATCTCCAGACAGAAAGAAAGAGGTCAGGGAACTATTTAAATCCACAAGGGCAAAGAGCCAGTTGGCTGCACTCATTGTTGAAATGGTTTATAAAGAACTGCAAGAAATTAAGATTACCAAAAAATTGATGGAGAGCCAAAAATATTAATGTATTGGAACACAGTGGACTCTTTACAAGCTGTAAATATTTTTTGGATTGTCACATAGAACCCATAAAGCGTGTTGAGGTCTTTCTCAGAACTTCTATTGGAGGCATGTAGCTCATAAAGAACATTTACCAGAAAAAGAGATCAGAAAGACACCGTATGTCACAGGATTGGTGTTGTGTCCCACTGCAATTACCAAAAGATAGTGTTGGTGTGTATCAAGAGGAACCAGGAATAAAAACTGGGGAGCAGGCGAAAACACCCATCATAGCACATACACTCTGAGCATTGGGCATGTTGACAAGCTGATTAACAAAATAAAAACCAGCATCCTTCAACTATTCCTCATGTCCACTTCAAAGGATTAAAAAACTTTGCACCAGCTTAACACAAACGTGTTTTCCTACTAACGGTTAAAAAACAAAACCAACAAAAAAACCAAACAAAAAAACCAAAACAAAAACAAAACCAAACCAAAATAAAAAACCCAAACCAAAACAAAACAACCAAACCAAAACAAAAAACCCAAACCAAACCAAAACAACCAAACCAAACCAAAACAAAAAATCCAAAACAAAAACCAAAACAAAACAAATAAACCAAAACAAAACAAAAAATCCAAAACAAAACAAAAAAAAAACCAAAGGCGCATAAAAAAAAAGGCGCACAAAAAAAAAGACACTCCTCCCAAAAAAGAGGTGCAAAAAAAAAAAAAAAAAAATTACCGAAAACACCAAGCGCGCTTCCCGCGGTTTCCTGAGGTGCCTCAACAAAACACGGCGCGGGGAACCGATACTTTTTCCCCTGAGATACGGCCGTGTTGTCACAGGGGAGCGGCCGAAGGACGAAGGAGCAACGCCAGAGGCACCCCACCCCTCGCGGAGCGCTCGCGCGCCCCCCGCCATTTTGCTGGCCGCCCCGGCAGCGCCCGCCCTCCGCCATGTTGTGACCGCCCACGGGCACCGCCCCGCCGCCGCTGCCCCTCAGCCCCGAGCGCGCGAGCGGGGCCCCGATGGAGCCGGCAACTTATAGCGCGGGACAATACTGGTGGAACGGCCCCCAGCCGCCCTGGAGCCGCCGTGCTCCCCTCCACTCCTCCTTCCCGCCGCCGCCTTGCCCTCCCCGCGGCTCCGCTGAGGCGCGGGCTGAAGGGGTTGTTCATGAGTTCACGTGTGTTTGAAGACTGTGCCCGCTTTCACAAGCGCGCCTTGGTAAAAAAATCGAGGTTTTTAGAGCTTCCATCCCCCGCCGCGTGTGGGGCATCGAATCAGTCCACAGTAAATGAAAGAACATTGCAGCTTATTTTTCATCCTCCTCCACTTCCTCACACACTGCGTTCACAGGCGCTGTTTCAAACCTATGGAAAATGTTTTCCTGTTACCTCTGAGTCAGACAATGGTAACTAGCACATAAACTTGGTGTTGTAAGTTAAGGTAATAAGGTAAAAGCTATTTTCAAGGTAAATATCTAAAGCTTCCTGCTAAACCGCTGTGCTTTGTAGCATTAGTAGTTGGCTTTGTGCATCGGGTTTTTGGTTTTCAATGAGAGTTTTCAAAGTAATCTTTAATATTTCTTGGTTGGTTTCAGGAAAAAATGCGTCGAAAAGGAAGGAGATGCTGCAAAAAGATGGTCTGACAAATGGGGGTTCTTGAAAACACCTCTTGAGGAGGTAAAATTGAATGGCACGTAAGCAACACATGAAATCTAACTGCACACAGATTTATCTGGACACAGAATTAGGAGAGCTCTGAAGACTAGAAATGTACTGAGTGTGCTTTGCTAAGCTGGGATCCGAGGTAACAACTGCACTGGGTTCAAATACTCAGTTTTCCTCTGAATAAAATAACAGCAAGTGGTAATTTATATGCTGTGCATATTCTGATATATTTCTCTTGAGAAACATGACTCCTAGTAGTGTTAACAAGTACTAGATGCACACTGACAGGAAAATATTTCCCCTTTGTCTATCCATATGGTAGTTTAAAAATCTAGGGGAAAAGGTTCCAGCTAATTAAATTGTCAGTGGGGGAATTTACAACAAACGAAAATATTTGGAGCGATGTCTCTTCTCAGTGATGTTATTAGAATATAGTAGCACATAATGTTCCATTTGGAATCACAGTACTTCATTGCTAAAGGACAGGATTGATGCAGCCCCTGCATGGTTATAAGTGTAGAAGTAATCTGCTCTAGGAGTTTTAGAAAATCCCTGTAGGCATCCAAATTAGCACTTTTGAAACCTGGTCCTTATGGTTTCATTATCCATCCTCGGTGACTGTGGTCTGTGACACAGAACAGCTTTGCACAGTTGCTATTGGTGAATATGTGTATTTAGCATCTATTAATCTTTGCTTTGTAGTCATATAAGACATATATACATATATAAGATGTATTTCTAGCTCTTTCTGGACCCATGATGTAGCAGCAATATTTAGCCTTCCACCCGAAATTCAGAATTACATCACCTTCTGAAACAAAAAAAAAAATCCAGTAATTTCCAAAGCACTGAAATAAGAGCTTGAGATGGAAAGAACAGGAAGTTCAGCTGCAACGAGGGGAATGGTGTGGATAACACAAAGAACAGTAAATTTCAAAATATATAGAGTCCAAAATTTAATTATGTTTCGGTTTTAGTTGATAGGAGATGAAAAAAAAGATGCAAAGCCCAAGATAGAGCTTCCAGAACACATGCGGATTCGCCCTGTGACACCTGTGGAAAAATACATTAAGGTTAGAAAATTACATTTTAAATTGTAATACAACAATATCTCTTGTAAGAAATCACACAACCTCTAAAACCCAGTTGTCTTGTAGAGGTGGGTCTTTAACTAAAGGTCAGAGTAAACTGCATTTGCAACCCGAGCAATGCTTTAAAAGCATTTGTTTAAGACAAAGAATTGCCCTTTGGATATGGTTGTAATTTTTCTACCTTTATTTAAAAGAGTCTTTTTGTTGGCACAGACAATGCCACTGTCCTCTTTAGTGGCACAAATTAATAGGAAGCCAGTTCTTACGAGCAAGGTAATAGTTGTTTGATTTTATATTATATGATTTATATGTTCGGTGCCTTGATGTTATCAAACAGCTGGAAAGGACAGTAGAATGTGAAGGTTTAATTTCTAAATATACCCTGTGAGAATCACCAATGAATGGGGTAACTGTACAGGCAGCTAAAGCAGTGACACTGGGAGAGGAATATATTCATAGAAGGGTAAGGAGGTGCTAACAAAAAAGGTTAGTCCACTTAGAGAAGATTAAGGAAACAAAGGAGACTGGAAATTCTTACTTGCTGAACCAGCTTTCTTTCAAAGGATTCCAAGGGTGGGAAGATAAAGCAAGGAAGTTGTAAAAGCTTTTACTGAGATTAAACTGAAACAAAAATTAAGTGCTAGTGCTGAGTGTGGCAAAGCAATGAAATGGCATCATTTCTGCCATCAGTGCTACTTATTGTTCAGTTTGTAGACTCTCAAACACGAATTTTAGTGAAGTTACAGTTTCAGTCCCGTTTCAGCAGTGAGGGGTTGGGGTGTTGACAATCACCCAGCTGAGCTGCTCAAGCTGAAACAGGGGTCAGAGCTTCATTACCTCGGCATTTGGAGGAACATCAGGGCTAGCTGTGTTTGGGTCACTCTTTACATGTTCAGAGTGAAGTTTCTCACCTCCTTTTTCAGAACTATGTGTCTTTCTGCACATTTACCTTCGTGGTGATAGTCATCCCTCTTCTCCTCTCTAGGTCAGATTAGTAAAAGCTTTTTCATTGTCCCTTCCCCCAGATCGAAAGTGGGACATGATTCCCTTCATTATCCTGCTCGGTGGGTGGCACTTTTGGCCATAAAAAATTATCTTTTTTGAGGAACTGCTCCACCTCAATATCATAAACGTTTTCTAATCTTGGCCAAAGAACAAAGTGAAGCAACTCTGGCAAGAGAACTGAAACATTGTTCTCTTGCTGTGTATTGCTCTGTGAGTCCCCAGATGCTAAAATGATAGAACGTGCCCAACAGAGATGATTCAGCCAAAGTAAGCACAGCAGTCACTGAACAGACACTGCTGGCTTTTGTTTGGTTTCCTCCTTAGCTAGATTAGTTGCAGATTAACTTTCTGCTTACCCATCTTTTCAAGTAGAAAGAAGGTGGAATGAGTAAGTAGTTCTTGATGCAATAGCCAGCTTGGTCAGAAACATCTTTAGCATTTGGTTATAAAGTTATTATTCCGTGGCTGCATTGCTACCAAATATATAACAGCAACTAGAAAACACTATTTCTCCTGTTTGGAGAAGTTAATTAGTTTTAAAGGTGATGATGATAATGATGATGATTATTCTGTATGGGAAAAAGCTAAAGACAAAGATAAAATTCTTCTCCTAAGAATATAAAACCACTAAAGCCCTTAGGATTGTACCAAACTTTAAAAAAAAAATGCTAACATACACTACTAAACAATTATTTGCTTTTTGGTTTTAGAAGGTGGTAAATGAAAGGTAGTTGCTTTGTTGGAATTTGGCCCCTGTACTTCTCTCTTTCCCTGTGTCTTGCTGTAGAACGGCACCTAAATTATTCTAATTAAATTATAAACTATCATGTGTTATAAATCAAACTTGCATGCACCTGGGCTGTCTTTCAAAATTTTTGTTTCCTTTCATTAATGTCAATGTTTTCAAGATATTAACTCAGCAAATTACATTTGGAACCACTATTTTTTATAAATCCTCATTTCCATCCACACGACAGCACAAAAGCTGATGTCGCCTGACAGCAGTTACCATCACAAACCCTTCCATCATTCACTTTTACAAGGTCCTTTTATTTTAGGTGCTTCCGTCTCCTCCAGTGCCTAAAACTACGCAGGGATTCATTGGCTGGAGATCAGCTGTGCCAGGGCTGGAGCTGGAGATCGACCATCAGATCCGGAGCTGCAAAGGAGCCCTCTGCAGGAGCCTGAACTGACCCGGGGCCCCACTGACAGGAACCAAGGATTAGGCACACAGATCCACTTGCAGTCCTGGCTACACATCCCACAGTGGACTGGTGGACTGTTGAATATTTATGCTTTCCACGTGATTTATGTAAACATCCACAATCATTTTGGTAAAGGTATTTTCATGGAGCATTTTGCTTGTTAGTGATTATTTAAACCTGTGGCTTCCAAGGTGTTAACTCGGCTTCAGGTTTACTTCAAAATAACAATGAATACACTCAGATAAAGATCACAAAGCAGGTACTATTTTTATTTGCATTAATAAGACTATAATTTAAAAATACTTATTGGAAGTTGGAATGACAGAGCAAATTTTTATAATTGTTTCTCCATGAGATCCTCTACTCCTACTCAGTTTCACAGCATTCTTCAAATATAAATACAGACTACTGTGTTCCTGACAATCCAACTGTACTGCTCATTCCCAATTCATCACTTACCACTGCTGGAATCTGTGTTTAGAATTCATTTTCCATGAGCACTGACCTGGCCCACTGTTGAGTTCTCAGGTGCCTGTGCTGGCACAAAACCATCTCTTCTGTACAGAGAGGATGAGAAGATGCAGAGGAGGGTGTCAGGCATGACTTCAGTCAGCTCAGGCTGCCATGGGACTGCATCCTTGCATTTGGAAAGAAGCTTCCCTCATTAAAAAACAAAACACAGCAAACAAACAAAAAACACCTGCAGAAAAAAACAATTATTAGGCTTCATCACAGTGTGTCCACTGGAGCTTGAAAAAAGCACACAAACCATAAGTGTAGTTAAGTCATAATTATAAAATACACTGGGTTTGTATTGTGTGCTCTTTGCAGGTATTCTGTGTAGTTACACACATAAGTAATTGAGTAGTTCCCAGTACACAAACAAAGTGTGCAAGGGCCACAGTGACACGAAGTCACTTTGAAAAATCAGTTTTGGTATCAAAACAGGGTTTTTTTCAATTAGTTAATCAGAATGCAAATGGGTTACAAGGCATTTATGTCACTTCAGTTTTGTGTGTACCAATATTTGTCCCAGCCAGGACAGGTCAATACTCGGGAACAGCAGAGGATTGCACTGGGAGTTACTGGTGTAGCTCCCCCGTGCTGTGGAGATCAGTCTTGCACTTCGTTCCCTGCAGGTTTGCCAGGATTTTTGGAAACTCGGAGGAGACTCCATTGCAGCAGGATGTAATTCTAACTGGCCAACATGTTTAAACTAGAAGGTTGCTTAAACAAAAAGGAGCCTCCAAAAAGTCAACACAGGCAGCTTCTTCTAACTCCTTATTACTTAAAGAGGAAAGATGTTGCTTTTTAATCCTGCTGCAGGATCTCCATTGTGTTCTCCAGCCATCAATAGCTACCTCTTGAGTCAGCACTAAGTGCTTGGCTATCATAGCAGTAAGTCAGCAGCCAGTGTTTGTTCTTCCCTTCTTCCCAAGAAATGACTCACAATGATCAACATCCCACCTTTTTTTTTTTTTTAATCCAGTTCCAAATGCCCACAAAATAATAATATTTTACTTTTTCCATATTCTTTACAAATAATGGAGAAGTGACTCATATCCTTTGGAAGGATTACCCAAGAATGAGAACACATAGCAGGAGTAACTTCAGACACATTACTTAAAAACCAGAATAAAGAATAACTTGGAATCAGACTGGAAATTTAAGCTAAATTGCAGTTTAGCTACTAACTATAACTTGTTTAAACTGTTCTTTGAACAGCCAAGATCATTGTAAGAACAGTATTTTAGATCAGTGTGCTTTCTTGTCATTGCCAGGTTTGTATCTCTTGCTTATTTTAATCATGTGGTTCTTCAGTTTATTTTAAGGTCCTAAGATCCTCTTATTGTCTGCTTTATATAAACAGGTATAATAATGATTGGTATGTAATTTAGTAACAACAAAATTACATTAATTCAGGCCAAATGAAAGGGGAACTTCAAGACCACTGGTTTCCCAAGAGTTGTATTAAATAACCAAAGCTGGCACCTGATATCCAGTGGATGTTTGTGTGAAGAGAAATCCAAATGAACCGTGGTTAGATTTTGAAAACCAAAATAAACTCTTTGTCCAGCATCTACAGTTGGAGATTTCTGAATCTTATTCCTGATGTCTGAATATTAACTCTGTACTAATAAGGGGGTTTCATTATACATTCTGCCATTTTAAGGTACCTTTACTTCAGGACATACTTTGATACAGCCTAATTTGGGACATGCAAGGAGTATTGTCTCAAATTGGAACTCATTCCTCTAGCATAAATATGTCAGTTGGTAAGTGCTCCATGTATTCAATGTTTTGATGTTATGTGAAACTATAAACCTCAATATTTCTTTTCTCAGCACTTTTGGTTTTACCATTATACCTGAAAAAATTGTGTAGAAGTTGTAGATTTGCAGCTGACAAAGGACTGCCCAGTCATCAGCCCCACTGAGAATCCTAGAGGCCAATACAGAATTGTTACATCACCTTGTAATGTTTCAAACCTGGCCTTTAATTTGTGGAAATTAACCTGTTTATGGGAGCCAAGTTGGGCACAGAAATGTCACTGCACACCATAAAATATCACACCATCTCCAGGGTCAGGACAGTGTTAGTAAACTCAGTGCACATACCAGCAAATGCTTCAAAACGAAATGAAACAACTTCAGAAACGCAGCAAAAGTCAAGAAAATTTTAATTCTGTATAAAAATCATAGACCCAGAACCAAAATGTGCAAACAAGGTGCCAGTATATTCAGATGTCTCCTGTGCTTCAACCCAGCTTTCATTTGGTGTCTCTTGGGCAGCTCTCGGTGAGCACAGGGGGCTGCACAGCAACTCCTCCTTAGCTGACTGAACTTTGTCAGGGAGCTGAAGCCAGCTTGGCTTTGGAGTGTTGTTTTCAGCTGAACTGCTTCTTTGACAACAGACTCCTTTTACTCTGGATGGTGCTTTCAGAACTGCACACACAAAAATGTGACTGGATTTGATCCCCAGTCCCCACAGCAAGGCGTGGAAACAGGTCCGGCACAGCTCCTGCCCCCATGGCTGTGTGCCTGCAGGTGCTTTCCTGGCTTCCTGCTGGAATAAGAGTAGAGGCTTAAACGACAACATATTTAAGCTAAAGAACTATGAAATCAGAATTATCTTTCTCACAAGCATTTATATTACAAACAACAAAATTGGGTAACAAAAACCTGGTGTGTTTTCCTTCACAGCGTGTTCTTTTCTGTGCTGTTAGAATTGGCATAGAACTGGCACTTGCTATTTATAAATTCATTAAATAAGATATTTTACCAGGAACTCAGAGTTGAACCATTATTATTTGTTTAAAATGCATTTTGCATCAGAGAATAAAGATTTTTGATTAGATGATAGTTGAAATGGTGATTCTGAATAAGTAGCTCTCAGAATGCAGTGTTGCTGTACATTTTGAAAGAACCCAAATGAAAAGCAACCACAGGATGTGCACAGGCAAGTGATGCAGTGTCTGTACAAGGTGAGTGCTTGGAGAACAATCACTGTTCTGCAAGAGACATTTCTACATTTCTCCCGTTACATGCTGTGACTGTCCTAACGATCCCCATTGCACTCCTAACTCCCAGCCCAAATTCCTGTCTCCAGTTCCTGCTATTGGCTGCTCTGTCAGCCTGAAGTAACTCCAGTTCTGAGGCTGTTTGCCTTACAAAACAGAGGATTTTAAAAACCCTTTTCAGAGACCTGAGGCTCCCCATTCACACACATTATTTCCCGTTATTTGCCCCTTTAGTGAAGGATTCATTGTGGTTTCTTCCACATTCTACAAAGTACCAGTGACAAACATTAATCTAACAGGGTCAGTGACAACCTGACCAGAAATGCTGCCCCAAGTGAATCCCAGCCCAGGGCACTTCTTGCACTGGGTCCTAAACATGTTGTTTTTTCTTCCCCAGGTAACCATGTCCCTGTAGCAAGACAGACAAGACCCACTCACAGACTACCACCTTCTTCCTGACTCCTGTGGTTTCCACATCCCAGCAAACTGTTATTTGGATAGTTGAAAGCATGTCAGACCATTTCACAGGACCACGCTGTAATAAATTTAACTGTGCTGGAAAATGATACTGTTGTGCTCTGAAACTGGTCGGGTTGCCAGTGAACAAAACATGGCCCTCAGTCTGCTCTGTCATACACAGCAAGGACTAAAGTACTGAGAGCTAAATGGAAAACAAAATCAGGAACGTTGGGAAAACAACTATCCAAATTTTCAATCAAATGCAGGCAAAAACTGAGTTCACCCACCCGACATTGCCAAAGGACCTTAAATCTATTGCTGTTCAATGTCCATTGCAATGTGGAGGCAAGCTACTCTTTTAGGGAATTTTAAATTTGTATATATTTGATTGTTTCAGAAAGGAGAGAAGGGATTAAATCAATAAATCTGGAGTCCAGGAAATGCCTGACAATAAGGGAAATGCAGTTTTACCATTTTTCCTGTGAGGCAGCTCACGAGGTTCTCTTCCAAGCTCCCTCATGTGATACCCTTGTCCTGGTTTAGGTGAGCTGCACTCTGCAGTTACAAAGTTGAAATCTGGCTGTAATTTTGAAGCAATTAGTTGGTTCAACATGGTTTTACCAATGGAAATTACACCTTGGGGTTGCAGGTTTTTCATGTTGCCCAAGTGACTCCACTTTGAATTTGGCCCCGTCCCTCATATTTCCCCCTCCCTGCTTTATCTGCTTCCCTAAAGAAGTGAAAATAAACCTGAAGATTGAAATAAATCTGAGAACTTCAAAGCACAAAACTAGATGCAACCATGAAGAACTAAACAGAACAGAGTTCTTCATTCCCTACCCATCCTTTTCAGTGCAGCGGCCCCACTGACACCAGATTCCCTGGATGCAGCTGAGGGCAGGATCAGGCCTTGCAGGTACCAGGCTGGGATTAAATGTGGGCACAACAGCTCTGATAACAGCATTATTTAGCATTTAACTGTGGGGAGTGTAGAAGTGGCCATTTTCTTTCTCTGCTTCCTTGATAAAGGCTCTTTATTCTTTTATCCATTTTTGTGCCTGCTTTCCACAAAGATCATTGTTACAGAGAACAGTCTTGCACCACCACAAGACACGGCAGCTTCGCCCCCCACACTTCTGTCTTGGCTTTTCCCGGAGATGCCTCCAGGCTGCCGAGTGACACCCGGCTGATGGGTCCTGCTGAGAGCTCAGCACAGCCCCGGCTCCGCCTGACCCAAACCTGACAATGCCTTCGCACTTCCCGCAGCCTGGAAACAGCCCCCCCTTCTCCTCCCGAAGTGAGAGACGGTTCATGCTTTTATTCCTCACCGGGGAGCAAGACGGACCCAGCTCTGCTAGTGAGTCTCCTTTGCTTGCTGACACGCGTCAGACACAACATTCTCATCCTTAAAAGCTGGAGCAAAAACAAAAACAAAACAAGAGCCCCAAAAAAACCCCAGTGAGCTCCAGTCCCTGTCTGGAAAAATTAAACAGCCATTATGCTCCTATTGCCAGAGCACAGTCACGTCCTTTGTTTCAATGAAAGCTGAAGTAATTTCTTGTGCTCCCATCACGTGCATTACAGCTTCTATCTTAACATTATAGTGCTAATGAACAAACCCCACATATTTACAGTCTCTCAGGAGAAGCCAAGATACAACTGACAGGCTGGTGAGGGAGCACGGAGGGACAGTGTTTATTATTTTGTTCTCCAAGAAGAGAGAATCCATAATAATCCATAATAATTTGAGTTATTTATGTGCAAATGAGAAAACTTTCACCAGCTCTCACCACAGGTCTGACCAAAACAGGTCTTTCACCGTGTTTGTTTGCCCTTCTAGTTTTTTTTTCAGTAAGAGTGCTGAGAAAAATCAGCATTTCACTGGGATAGGCACTAGCAATGGACAGCTTGAGACTAACTTCTTCACCTTGGGCCAGCACTTAACTTGAGAGGAAACAATCTTCTTCATACTCAATAAATCACAATTAAAGTGGTCTGCATGCATATAGGAAGTATATTTTGCACTTAATCTGCTTTTAATTCACCTTTCATTCACACTGTTGGAGTCACTGCTGCTCTGTCATTACCTGTCAGCAGTACCAGGCTGGTTCTGCTGGGCAGCCAGACCCTGCACTGCTGTGTGCCCATCAGCTCCTGAGGCTTTGTGAAACACAGAAGACACCAAATCACATAAATACTGCCATTATTTGGAATATGTTTTTCATTCCTCTCACGTGTGTGTTTGGCACTGGTGCTGGAGCTGTCCTGGAGCCCAGTAATGATAATGGTCAGGGATATGTAAAAGCATCTCCAAACCCAGTGAGGCAGATCATTTACACAACTTTTATGTGGAGAGGAGAAGTAGATAAATACACAGCACTGCCATGTAAGCCTTTGCCTACTGACCAGTCCCCAGTGACAGCCAGACTGCAGAGCTTGTCCTGTCCCTCGGGTTCCAATAGGTCAGTTTGGTCACCTGGTTGACCTCAGCCTTCCCTGAAAAATTACAGCTTTATTATACACAATTCAATTAAATCATCTGCTTTTCTTTATTGTCCCTTTAAATTATGCACACATTCACTTGTTATTTATTGCAATATATAAATCATGCCCCAAGAACTGCACAGAAGTACATACACAGTTTCTGTGTAAGAAGAATGGAAAAATCATTCATGCCCATCAGGAATTTATTTCCTCCCTTGTCTCATTCTGGATTTGGAGGTGCTTGAACAGATTCAGAAACCACCTCTGAATTCTGTCTGAATGCTCTGGTTAGTTGTTACAAGGGCATTAATTAGCTGTATTACATAACACATCACAACACCTTCCAATGGTTTTTATTTTTGAAAAATAAGGCCAGAGGCACAGAAGTTTCTGTGTTTCTGACAGCCTGATGGTGACAACACAGTGACTCAATTTGGTGCTTGATTTTGGCTCAGACAGGCTCAGGTCAGTGATGGCTGATGTGCCATGTGGATTAATTTTAAGCTCTGATCGTGATTCAGGACTGGAGTCCAAATTCAGACCTTTAAATGATACCCCACAGGATCCTTGCTTTCTCCACAAAGCTACAGAGGGAGCCTGGGCAATCAGATCTTATCTCTACACTTCAAAGGCTGTTGTCAGAAATTAGTCAGTGTGGATGAAGCCCTTCAGGGCCAGACGCCAGGGCCTTACAGGAACACACAACACTGGACTTGTTCCTCCTGAGCCCACACTGACTGTGCTGACCACTCACCCTCCCCTGTATAGAACAAAACTAACCCAAAAACGTCCATTTTTTCCCCAGCACATGTTGAATTACCTGTGGAATACAATGAATCTCATCCACACAGCAGATCTGCCAGGTGTCGAGACGGCACAGTCCAGAGGCACCTTTGTACAGAGAAGGGGGGAATGCCTGCAAGTCTCCCTTCTCTCCCAGAAGGGAGAGACTTGGCAAGTCACTGTAATGGATGGTTTATTTGTTTGTGGCATTGATTTATAAATTAGTTACATGCTAATCATTAATCAGCATCTGGTGTGCAGGCAGTGCAAGAGGTCGGACAAGGAGCCAGGCAGTGCCTCACCCAGCACCCTGCCAGCACTTCTCCAGAATTCCCAAGAACCCCGAGTTGGCTCAAACACCAAACAGGCAGGGGGAGCAAAGTTCAGCCCAGGAGGGGCTTTAGAAATGCCAGCACTGTGCAGTCCTTGGGCTGAGCCCAGCCCTGCAAACGCTCCTGGCCAGCCCAGGGAGCGCTCCCCTCATGGCCTCAGGTCAGAATTTGGCTCAACACATGCAGAACATGTTTGGCTCATCACACATGTGCATATTAAGTCCACATTCATCAGCAAGGGAACAGAGAGACAATATCTGGTAAAACACTGGAACTGTACTTCAAAGATCAGGATGCAATTCCACGGACTCCCAGGGTGACTTTGGCCACAACAGTCACCTCCTCTGCTTCAGCTCCCATCTGTAAAAAGCAAAATAACCATCCCTCATTTTTACTTCACCCATCTTTGCAATTTAGACTCAAGAGTTCTTTGTAGTGGTGTCCCTTTCTCAAAATACACCCAGCTCCCAGCACACAATGTCCTCCTCAGAACAGGCTTATGGAAATGTATCAAAAAAAAAAAAATAAAAAGAAAAAAAGGAAAGATCCTTATAAAATATCCACTGATGAGGTAAGACCACCAGCACAACAATGCAGTGAACAGCTGTAATCTGTGGGAGGATTATTTCTCTTTGCCATAAATGCCATCTAATTTTCAAGACAAGTTATTCCCTTTCATAGAACAGTGAACTCAGTATCTGCAGAGAACTTTCCTTCCCACCAGTACATTTTTCAAAGGCTCCCAGTAGTTTGTGACATTAAATAGAAGGTGTCACATCTTTATGACAAATACTAATACTAGTCTGCTTGATTAACATAATTTGTTTCTTCACTGGACATTTTATTCCAGATGAGCTGCTTTTCATCCATCCATATTTTCTAGGGGAAAAAAAAAAATGCATCCTGACATGCAATGTTAATGTGCCCTCTGAGATAACCCCTTATCTCCAACTTCCCAGCCTCACCTCCCCTTCTCTGCAGTGCATCAAATGAGCTTTAGCAGCAGCTCTTGGTCAAGGCTCTCATGCACTGGACACCTGCCAAGGCTTTTGGGGTGTTTAGCACAGACTAAAGGTCTGTTCCTATGACACACACATTTAAATTTAGCACTAAACTGGTGAAGGAAAAAAAGAGAAAAATATGTAAAATGTCACTTTCTGACAAGCAGAAAATTAGAATTCATTCCCCTGAGAATTAAAAGGACTTTTCTGCTTCCAGTCACTAACTATGACAAGGTTAACATTTTTCAGTCTAATGACGAAGGACATTAAGTGTGCATGTGAATAAGAAATAAAATTACTGGAGGGTATTAGCTAAGTGTGTGACAACAGCCCAAACTGACAACAGAACTCCAAGGATGCAGATTCCAGCTACTGCTGACTGTTTGCTGTGGAGAACTGAGGGATAACAGGAACGTGGAGGTCAGCCTTCTGTCACCACTGTTGGAACAAGAGAAGCAGCCACAGGAAGATCCGTGTCTGGTGGGGGTAGAGAACATTTCAGAGCACATCCAGCCTGCTCCCAGAATCCTGGGCAGGGACACTCAGCTGGGCAGCACATCAGTGAGAGGCCACAAAACCCTGAAGACACTCAGAAAAGGGAAAATTCCAAGTGCATCTCTTGCTTCCCCAAGGATTCTTTCACCAGTCCCTGTGATTTAATTCTGATATCACACGAGGATTAGGTAGGAAATTAAGTTGTTTGTGACTTGCTTTCGCTTCTGCCCTTCCCAGTTCAGTTTTCCCTGTAGCTCCTCACTGTCTTACTCAGCTATGGCAAACTGAAGCTGTGGCTTCCAAACAGTAATGGATTTCATGTGATGCAGCACCAAGCAGGGAGGACTCAAAGGAAAAGAGAAGTCTGTGTGTTATTGCTATGCCCTAGGTGTTAAGATACTGGAAATTATCAACTATTGGGAATCTTTCTGGACATAAATTGGGGTGCTAAAAGGTAAGACAGGAAGATTATATTTTCAAATATCTAATTTCTTCTGAGGAAAAGATGTATAAAAGTGACATTTAGAGATATGGGTCAAGGTAGAGAAAGCACTTTTAAACAAGGACAGTTAATATGGTATCTGACAGAACAACAGAAGCTGCAAGGACATGGATGGACTTCCATGCACAGAGCTCTCCTTTTAGTGCTTCTGCCTTTGACTGGGTTTCAAAAGCTACTTGGCCACAACTGAAAAAAAGGTTACAATTTAAGGGACAAATCAAATATTTAAAAAATTAAAACAACTAAAAAGAAGGAAAGAAAACCAGAAGAAAACAAGTACTTTCAAACCCACAGGATCTACCTCTACATGAGCCAACTGGAAGGATTCACCAATTTCTTTGCTTTCCTGTGGCTGTCAGGGTGCTCATCAGTCCAAAACAAAGCATTTTTTTATTTTTCTAGTCTGAAGTCAGTGTGATGAACTAACTATGAACTATTAGGCAGCTCAGTTACAGATCATGTTTCCTGTAACATCAAAAGCTGGATTCTCCTCTTTTCGTCTGCAACAGCCAGAATGTTTTTGCTTCATCAAACCAGCCTGAGAGGATTCCTGCATTTTTTACATCAACAGACAAGGCCTGACTGTCCCTGTAATTCCTGCTGGCATGGCTGTATCCCCCCATCCTCCTCCCTGCTTTGCTTGGTTTGCTCCCAGGAAGAGCCTTCCCCTGGTGCTGCACATGCTCAGATCCATATCCACACCGCCCTCATTCCCACTGCTCTCCGATCACTTTTGGTCCCTGGCCTCGTGACTGACACTCCCCTACAATAAACTGCATAAACCATATCTGCCTGTAATCCTGATAAATCCAAATAATTTTGTTTTATTCCTCTCTCCCCGACTCTCCTGCCCCTCCAACTTCCTCAGCCTTATTTTATGCCATCAGCATATTTAAGGCACTTTTGAAATTACATTCTCCTCGAGGTCACTGCACTGAATTTAATCTTCCCCTCCCCAATGCTTTAACTCCCACCTGATTTATTTATACTGTTTATTATCAGAGACCAATTCAATCAATGAAAGCTGGAATTCAAACACACACACACATTTGAATTATGCACCCAAACACTCACCAGGAGAGGGAACAGAACTGCTGCAGTCCACATCATCCCTCTAACACATGGCAGCTAACAGGTAAGGAGGCTCAGAGCCATCCATTTTTATACCTTGACTTCTGCTTGACCCCAGGGTTTGTTTGGCTACTGGAAACCAAAGGAATTGCAATAGGATTACAAATTCCACAGAGGAGGTTTGGCCAAGGGATCTGTGCATTTCTTACCCCAAGCCAGTAGAACTGTATTTTAAGAGGGGCTTTCTGAGTTGACAGTTCCTTTATTAGCTTCTGTTCACACAGGAATTCTAGAAAAACACCATCAACCCAGAGCAGACAGTCATGTCAAGCAAATGGTGCAAACAGAACAGTGTATAGAGAACTGGAGCTTAAAGGGAAACCAAAGCACTGACCTCAATTGCAGCCTGGCTTAGGCATCAAACCAACCCAAACGGGCTGCTGGAAGCACAGGAGAAAATTAATAGCTTTTGGCTCTCCTCTGCAAACCACCTTCCTCTCTAAACGTTCCTGGTCAGCAGGATCCTCAGGCACAGCTCCCTGCCGGATTCTGGCTGCCTTTGAACGCTGTGGTCACAACTCAGGAACACTGCAAAGTCCAGAAATGAAGGCAATCTTCTGCTGCAGAGATTGTGCTCTAGACAGACCACCCTCAGAATGATGTTCCCCACCTGCAGTTCCTCCCATTTCTCTGCCCTTTACTCCCTCCTCACTGCTCTTCCCTCTCCCCAGCAGAGATTCTTTGCAACCATCTTTTATAAGCAATCACCCTCCCTTCTAATCCCTCTCCTGAAAAAGCTGTTTGTTTTTCCTTACTGCTACCAGCTCCTGTGTCCCAGCAGAGCTGGTCCAGCCTGAGGTGTCAGGGATTAAATCAATGCCTCTGCACTCCTCGGGAATTTGGCAGTGATAGAATTCACTGCTGCATCTTCTCTGGCCTATAGTTATGGGAGTTCCAGGAGTCTCCTGAAATTCTGTTTTAACATTTCACAAGTTATGCACAGAGAATATTTTGGCTTTTCTATCAATACATAACTGCTTGGTAACTCCCAGTTTGAATGCTGATTGTGTTTTGCATAAATTAACTAAATTGCAGCCCTTCTGTTTCATTGGTACTTTTTGTCTGCTTCCTTTATGAACAATGTCAGGGAGATTGCAAGCTGACTACAATTCTCTTTCCTAAGCAAGAGGAAAACAACATGTAAGAGCCCAATCAGCACCAGTTTCCTGATGTCTGTTGGGTTTTACAAGCTGTAAGTGCTCCGGCATTTAACAATTTATGTCCATTTGGGTCACTTTAAGAAGTGAATGTAAGGATTGCCAGTGTTCTGCACCACTGGTGTCTATTGATAAATATGGAACAGGTACAACAACAAGCTTCTCTTTCTTTCTGCTCAAAAATTCCCTGAGCTAACAAGTTATATACCCCCACAGGAAGGGAAATCCCATCAATAAATGGCTCATTGTAAAAGATCTCAGTTATTTCTGTCTCCAAGTCCATCTCAGCACTGCTGTGCTGAACACACTCCCCACCTCAAACACCAAATACACGAGGCTGTTTGGGGGCAATTCTGCGGCCTGGGAAGCAAGAAGGGGGTTTGCTGTGCCAGAGGAGGATTGTTCCAAGAGCATTACCATGTCTCAGGAGAAACATGGCACTTCCCACACGACTTCTGTGCTGGCCACAGCCAGTTCCAGGGCAGCTCTGAGCACCACCCGTCCCTTGCTCTGCTCTGCTCCCAGGAACTCTGTGTGGTGCCCATGAAGTCCTCAGTAATTCCCAGGTGGGCTCTGCAGAATAAACACAGACCTTTTAGTGCCATTCTTTTTAGGTTATCAACCAAGGGGTGTTTGCACACTACATAAATCCCCCTGGATCAGCTACATCATCCCTGCTTGTCTCCTGTTACTCTGCCCCAGCTTGATTCTCTACTCTCTAATGATATTTACTCTTAGCCGCCCCTTGGAGTGGACATTATTTTGGCTTTTCCTTTCACCTGCAGCTATTAAGTGCCACAAAATCATCCAGAAGTTGTTCCTTTTTGCAGTCCTTGACCTTCTCTTAAATGTACTGGAAGCTGACCTGAGCTTTTGGGGTAAGAGGACACACAGCACTGGCCACGTGAGTCCAGACTCCACAGTAGGCAGCCAAGACTTTGGGCCTCGATTCCAGAGACAGCTCCTAAACCCAGGCTACCTGAGGAAACAGTTCTCTATCACATTCCTTCCCAGGAAGAGCTTTTTTTGGTAATAAACTCAAATATCAGTTCTGCAGTGTTGCTGAGAGGTCTCTTAGGAGCAATTGTCAGGTGCTCATGCTGCTGTTCCTCCTGCAAAACCATTTCCATGTTGGGCAGCATCTTCCACAGTGGTTTTCTCAGCTGTAAGTGGAAGCTGAATGGTTATTTCTTAAAAAGAAAGAGGGGGAGTTATTTGAAAAAAAAAAATAGTGTCACCAGTCTTTCTGTGGGGCTCTTATGCCAACACACCTTTTGTTTCAAAGAACCCTTTGTTCTTGGGGCACATCCTTCTGTTTCCTGCTTTACACCTGGTAGGGAGAACATTTAATACACAGGGATATGAAACAGTTTCTGCCTCTGATTCTCATAACATAGACAAGTCCCTTGGCCTCACAGGAACACCCAAGAACAGACAACCTCAACCTTCTAATGGTGTTTTAAGATAACCAAGAAAAAGGATTTTATGCATACTTTGTGTTGTTTTTCCTATCTGTACAAAACCACCTGGATTAAGTATCTTGTTGAGAAAGTGAAATGTAAAATGGCAGACAGCTGAATTAAAATAATGCAAGTATTTTCCAGCCATCAGGATAAGTTGAAGCACTTTTGGCACGCTCACTTCAAGGAAAAAGTACAGGGAGAGCTAATTCACATCTCTGGATATCTAATGGATTTTTTTCTACTGCTCAGTATGAAAAATTCCACATTCAGCCTTGGTCAGACACCTGAGAGATGTTTCATTAACCCACGGAATACACTCCCATCTCACCCATGACAAAAGCCGGTTACCACAAGTTGGTTTATAAAACAGTCACAGATTTATTGAGATAAATACAAATAGAAAGTTACATAGATTCTTTACTCTGACAAACAAGAGACACTTCCAGAGTGTCCCCACTTAACCGGGTTCTAAACAGCCCCGTGCACAGACACAGCCGAGCGATGCCACAGGGGGACCAGTGACACCAGGGGGCTGGAATCCTTTGGATCACAAGGGCCTGACCATTTCCTACAGCATCCAAGCAATATTGCACCCACCACTGTTACTGTCACGTTCCTTAGCTGGAAATGGAGAGCTCTATTCTTCCTGCTGTTGTGAAATTCTACCTTTGCTCCATGTGGCTTTTCAAACACATCTCTTTGCATCACTGAAGAGCCCAGAGAACTCCATGAACACCCCCCTGTACCCATTGCACACATTTGTCCTGTACAAGACATAAAGTGCAGCCTTAGTCATGCTGAAACCACCTCTAGTTCAAAACTCAACCAAAAAGACAAACTTGTAGAGGGTAAATCTGTTTAACAGACCTGCACAGTCTACAAAAAACCCACCCCAGAACTGTGATGGCCCCCGTTAGTACATGCAAGTGTAAAGTTGTAAAAGGAGGTTTTAAAACACTCCACTGAAATCATATGGTTCAAAACTGACAGGAATTTGGGAGCCAGAGAGGTACCAGAATATTGTTAAAAACAAGGAGCTTTGTTTAGCCTTTTAGTGAACTTTTATGGCTGGTGGCTTACCCTTTACACACATTCTAGTTAAAACCTCCCAGTGAACACTAACCAAACATGCTAAAACATATGGAAGCTTGTGTTTTCCAGTGGATTATTGCAAGTCAAGGAAACTACTTAAGGTGATCCGACAAACAGAAACCTGGGTTGGGTTATGTTCAAGGTATTTAATTTATATACAGTGTATTTCAAACATACTTACATATACACACACTTTAAAAAAAAAAATCTGTTCAGTGCTGAGAGATTTAATGAACTGATAATAAAAAACAGAAGTCAAACCTTGTCAGAAAGGCCTTAGAAAATCTGAACTGTTAGAAAATACCAGTATAATGCCAGCATTAGAAAAAGATATTAGAACTAGAAAAAATTAACTTGAGGGGTCTTTTTGTTAAGAAATAGCAATCATAAAAAGTCTGTACTGAAGAAGTATTTGTTTTAAATTATAAAAAAAACCTGTAAAAAATTAAATGTAGAACATTAAAGAGTTTACAGAGTTTACACTGTTTGCTGCAGTAGCAGTGGTATAGTTCTGTCTGCAGCTCCCCAAGAGCAGTTTGTGATCTCACAAGGAAATCACTTGTTACAAATACTGTACAGATCATATAATACATGAGCAGTTAACTTACCCAAAACTGAGCCCTCCCAAAACACAGAACCCAGCTGAGAAACCTACTTGTATTGCAGACAAGCCCCACTCAAACCCAACCAAAACAGTCACTGCTGTAACAACCTTCCCCACGTGAACTTTGAGGGGAGACACTTACACAGGTCTGTGCAGGAGAAAGGACCCTCCTCAGCCAGGAACTGTCACCACGTGGAGCCATTTCTTTAGTATTCAAGCATTAGTTTTGGAACAGGATAGTTTCAATCCCCACTATAAAAATGGTTTTTTTTTTCCCCCCCAGGCTGCACATTATTGCAGATTTGGGACCCAGGAGAAGACAGGGCCCAGCAAAAGTATTGGTTTTATCATTTTTCCAACTGTCTGAAGTTACTCAGTTTTCCCAACACAACTCTGCTCCATCTGTGTATTTTTCCTTTCTTCCAAAGCCCCTGTCTCAGGACACAGAAGACATCCTGCCTCACCTTACCTTCAGTAACCTTCATTTGGGGTTTGCCCCAAACCTTCCCAAACAATCCACAGAAGTTACAGAGCAAACTGTGTCACACCTTTCCCTGGAACACTTCTGATCTGGGTGTTTTCAGAATTTAGAGGTCCTCTGTTTCTCAGGAAAAGCTGTTTGGGATTTAAACACTTGGGCAGGTTGAAAGGTATTTGTTAAACCAGGTGAGTAAAACAAACAAACTGAAGCCTGTAACCTTCTGTAACACTCCTGTACAGACACAGGATGTGTTGCAGGAACTGAATCCCTCAAGTGACCTTTGCTGGGGTAGAATGAGGAACTTTCCACTTGGGAAATCTACAGTCTCCCTACCCCAGGAGAGTCAGCAGTAACACCAACTGACCTGTGAGGGTGGTCAAGAAATAACAGGGCTGTTGTTATGACTGTTAACACCTGTAAGAGTGTAGCTCAGAAGGAACAAATTAATGGAAATGTCACAATATACAAAGAATCTTGAGCTCTCTGTGCTTTGAAAAATATCACATTATATTAAGTAAAAATGACCCATGCCCTAATTCTAGCAGTGTAACTACTTTAAAAAATGAAATGTTTTATGAGCTTTTTCCACTGATACAGAATTCAGATCATTAATTTTTTGTTACAATTCAAAACTATTCACATATATACACTTTTTTCAAATAAATGCAATAGCTGAAACAATACAAAAACCACAGTATAAGTGAAGAAGGAAGAGCTTCAGGGAAGTTTGTTATAATCAGGTTTTAGGATTCAGAAACCATTTTAAGCTTGTAGCAGCCTTGTGCTACTGGAAATGTTTTGTTAAAAAATGAAATGTGAATTCCAATTAACACTGAAACACTGAGTGTGGTGTAAGACTTTACAGATAATACTGAACTGCAGGTGAGATCAGAGTTATCACTCACATTTACAGAGGGAAAACCAGAGGGATTACTCATGGGAATCAAACAGTGGGGCAGAGGAAACGAGGTCATGAAATGAAGACAGGAACATTTCCTGCTCAAACAGGTAACAGAACCCACCTTATCTGCCCACTTTACTCACACCAACACGACCACAAAGTGAACAACTGTCCTGCTGTTCAGCCCCTGCTGCAGAACAACTTGTTAGTTTTGTTTTTCAATGGTAATATTGTCCATGTTACCCTGTTTTAGTTTTATGGTGGCAAAGAAAGACACGTCTTGATCTCTGTCAGATTGCAGGGCCAGAATGGTCTCTTCTGCAGCTTCTAGATGAGGATTGCCAACACTTTTAAAATAAGCTAGAATAAGGAAAGAAAAGAGACAATTTTAATCAATCCCAAAAGAACAAACCCTAGGGCATAGGTAGTGCAGAAATCCAGAGGATGCCAAAAACATCTGGGGCAGTTTATCCAATTTATAGTCTCCTTACAGAAACTACAGGAAGCCAAGGAAGTTGACAGAGAAGGAGAAATATGCTGCTTCTGACTCATCTTCTAAGGTACTTAAATACTTCTAAGATAAATTCTTTTTGCTGAGCCCTAAACAGAAATGTCTCTGAGCAAAAGCAGGCTCAGGAACCTGCCACTGTACAGTGCAATCCAAAAGCTTCTCCATACTTTAATTTTGCAAAAAAGATAGGAGAGGAGATTTCTGTGCATCTCCCTTTGAATAATCAGGGATCAGTTGCCTTTTTTCTGTCATTTTTAAGGAATTGTAACACAGGAAACTGCAGCATGATGGATCCCAAACCCTGCAGCTGCCTCGGCCGCTGCTGGCGAGGCCACAGTGCCCCCAAGTGGGTCCTGCTGGATTAACAAAGCCACTTCTAGGCCCTCTAGGGATAATCATCCCATATTCCAAGGCTGCAAAGCCACTCCTAAAATTCCTAAATCTACACTCTAGTCCAAAGTTAAACGCACTATCCCAGAGTAAAAGGTATGATCCTGGTTAAGAGCCTTGCAATGAAGTGAGCAGAGGAAAAGCAGCATTCCCGAGATGTTGGGCCTTTCCAAAGAAATTCATGAGCACACCTTTCTCCAGCAGTGTCTGCCTGAGAGCCTTGGCGAGCAGGACCCTGACGTTGGGCACGGGGTCTGAGGCAAGGCTCAGGAGACTGGGCAGTAAGTGCTCCACAAATTGGTCCACGGGCATACACTCCTCCTCCACCACAGCCTAGGGACAGACACAGCACAGGAAAGCAAGATTTGTGTTAAAAATACACTATGTGCCATTTCTTTCCATCCTGTCCTTAATTTTGCCTATTAAAAAAAGCTCTGAACAATTACACCCTACCCTGTGTTGGTGAAATAAGCACAGCCTTTGAACTCCTGTTCTGATAACATGTCTTACTGTTCCAAAGTTCAGCCAAAGATGATCCAACAACAGCAAATTTCTTTCAAGTATATTTTAGAAAATGTTTCTCTCTTGGCTGTCATCACCCTTTTGCCTTTGAACATTTAACCCTTGCTCCTCATTGCTACTGAATTAAGCATTTTTGGTTTGGAGGGGGTGGGTAAAGGTCAATAAAAAGGGAAATAGTTCCTGGCATGTAGCACCCATTGGTAATTTAAAGAGCTCTTGTCACCCTTTATCCTTACATGGCCAAATATTAAAAAAAAAAAAGAAAATGTGTCTCAGTTTGGGACTTAATTCTTGACTTTGCCACTGGGATACCAGAAGTCCAAGGCTCAGCTACTACAGCTGGAGGTACAGCCCCAGACAAAGACACAGCTTTAGCTGGACCAGCCGTGTCAACCCACAAAATCAGAGCCCAAAAATGACAAAACAAATTGGGAGTCCAAATTCTAGTTTTGCCCCACGTTGCTGCTAAAGCCCAAACCAGCTCCAAATGAAACAGTACACACAGAAACAGAGAGAGAACATTCCAACCTGACAAATGAAGGCAAAGGCTTGTCTTCCAACCCACTTGGAGCTGTGACGGAACCGCACGACAAGTTCATTGATGAAATTTAACCCCAGAGCATTTGCACTGTTTGTGTAGAACTTCTGTAGGATTGCTACAACCTGGGGGGCAAAGCAAGGGGAAAAGGAACAAAGAGATGAGACTTCAGTTGCAGCCCTTAGAGTTAAAAAAACCCCCATAATTTCATTTGAATTCTAAAAGGGGACAGCAAACACAGCACTGTCAGCTGTGCTTGTAGGTTTTAATAAATTCCTGTGCTTATTCTGGAAAAAGCCCAAGCTTTAGAAAAGTTGTTTGTTCACCTGAACCAAAAACCACCAGAACTAAAACCAGAAGTAAAATAATGCCCCTTTACAGGGTGCCATGAAGAAAAGAAAGAGATTGAAGGAATATTTCTACTCCTTCAGGACATCTATGGGACGATGGCATTGTCATGAACTTCATAACAAATTAAATCACCTTTGAGGAAAGATCAGTAGTTGGTTGTTCTGTGTTTTGTTGTGGTTTTTTCCCCCAGAACTGGAGGAAGCTCTTCCAAATGTTATCCATGCTGGCTTTCATTCAGGTGAAAAGATTTATCATTCACATACAACCACAGAGGAAGATTTTAATATCTGTGGCAGGGGGACAACTCAAAATATTTTTTAAACTTTTAATTTCACTCTTTTCTGTACTGTTCACCATATTTATTACAACATGTCTCAATTCACCCTACTTGTCTGAAAAAACAGTGATTGCAGATACCCCTCTCCAGGATCATTTTCCTGCTCTCCTGCCAGGAAGTGAACTCAATCCCCTACCAGTTTGAAGGAGATCCACCGAACTTCTGAGACTTTATCAGAGCAGAGAGTCAGTGCAATGTGTCTTAGGTAGTCATAGACATCGTTGGGGTTGTAGAGCTCCAGGATCAGGATCAGCTGCCTGGGACACAAAGGAAATCATTAACTCTCCCACTGCAGCACCAGCCTGCTCCAATTCAGCATCTGTTCCATGTGGGGAAGGAGCACTAAGGTACCACAGTCACTACAGAGCCCCTGAGCAGTTTGTTCTTCTCTTCACACACTTCAATCCATCAGGGGGTCCAAGAGAAACTGTTACCCAAACTACATGTATATAAGTAAAACAAGAAGTTTCTTTTGCAACTTCAAACCAATATCCTGTACGTTCTTGCAAAGTGAAAACTGACTATTTGCCTCAGTGTAGAAATCTGCCTTTCAGATAATAATTTGTACTCAGAAGCTCACAGGACTCACTGCAGCCACAGCACTGCCAGCACAGAACAGCAGCAGGTCCCCACTAGGGGTCAGGGCACTGCTGTGGAAAGTCCTTGTTTGTTGTGCCAAACTACAGAGGGACAGCGAGGCCTCAACAGCCCAAACACACCAACACCTCGACCGTGAAGGTCAGACTTGAGTCCCAAACTATTCCTACGAAGGTGCTGCAAATATCAACAGGGCTTGTAGAGAAAGAACTGCGGGATGTTGTTCTACCTTCATTATACAGCCATTTAGAAGTACCAAATTAACCAATTTACTTTTTAAGAACTGTTTTTTCTTTCTCACACATGAGAAAAATTACTGTTTCCATACATTTCACGGATTTTTGCAGGGGAGTCTTGAACTAAATAAATTCTGAGACCTCATTGAATAGTATCTATCAGATTGTCATATTTCATTAGCTGTCAGTGAACCAGATCTCCATTTTAGTGTAATCACAGACATTTAACTTTCAATCACACTTGATTACAACACAACTTGAACAAAACAAAACAAACAAACAAAAAAACCACGGAAAAACCACACACACAAAAAAAAAAAACAAACCAAAAAACCCAAACACTCCCAGCTCCCCCAAAACAACCCTAACAGCCAGTGGTTTTTAAACTGAGTTCGCTACTAAAGAATAGTTTAAATTTTAGCTCCCAAACAGAGGTGCTAACTTCTGAATGTAATTGCCTATTTCCAAGTTAGTAATACAGATTAAAACCCAGAAGTTAATAAGATTACATACTCTGCCAGCTCGTAACGAAACCTCCAGTTCCTGCTGTTATCAGTCACCACAAATTCCTGAAGCTGGTAAAGATACTCTCGCCTTTTGTCTGCATGAAGTAGCTAAAGGAGAAACATGACTAGTGTAAAAAACTGGGAAAACTCAATACTTGCAGTTCTCTGGTGTGCTGCTCTGTTCACACCTATGTGCATTTTCCTTCTTGAAAGCAAGTGATCATTGACAAGATGCTTCCTAAAACTGTGCACAGTCAGCTGAGTGCCTGGACACACAAGACTGACATCCAAAAAAGTACAGTAAGTCACTCCTTTGGCAAGGACACCCATCAAAGCACCATCTCTGGGCACCAAAAACTAAGGATTTGTGTGTATTACCCACCAGGATCTGCTCTCTTCTCTCCCAGTCCCAAACATAACTTGCTACTGGGCCAACTTTCCAGTTGGACTGCCCAAAATACTTATTCCTTTACAACAGCCAGCAGCATTTGCAACCACATTTACAAAGGGTTTTCAGTTTTGATGTTTTGTTGGGTTATGAGACAAAAGAGAAGTGAGGCACATTAAAAAAAGGAATAGAGACACACACAAAATGGCAGCTTTGTACAAAACTAAACATTAATTAGACCCTGATACATGCAGAGCTCATTAGAAGACTCCTAATATAATGGAGTCAGAAAAAAAATGTATATGAAGAAATTAATTGCACTTCCCTACCTTCAGGAAGTCATACAGATGTTTGAGGACACCGATGCGCACTTCATCCAGGTCTTTCAGGAATCCATTGAAAATTGGCACCAGATCAGCAGCTGTCAGCTGATCCCCCAGGATCACTGCCAGCTCGTGGATGGAGAAAGCCAGTGTCCGACGCACCTTCCACTGCAAACAGGGCAACAAGGCAACTACATCAGGCACCAAACCAAAACACACAGGCTTTTGAACTACACCTGTGTGGGGAGCGACAGAGCACAACAAACAGGGCTGGTTACACAGCAGTACCAAGTCTGATTTAAGTCTTAAATTTTGCATTTTTAGTGCATATTTAATCCCTTACAAGAAATTATATGATCTTATAATAACTTCAGTGCAGCAAAGTGAACAAAAAAGTTCCTCAAACTTCTGATTCATCACTACAAACCTTCTTTTTCTTTACCTGTACATCTGAGGCCAGTGTCTCGTAGGTGTCCTTGAGGCAGTGCCAGTTCTGCCTGCCCAGTGTCAGGGCCACCCCGGGCAGGCTGTAGGCGCAGTGCTTGGCGATCTCCGTGTCCACAGTCTGGGCTCGAGCTGGGTCAGTCATGGACAGGTACTGGTCCAGTAAGGGCTGAGGGATGATATCCTGGAGAGACAGGGAATCAGTGACACACGTGGGAATTCAAGGGCAGAAAGACAATACACCTGTTGTGCTCCAGTTCTCTTGCTCCCAACCCGTCAGCAGCAAACAAAGCATAGCAAGGTACCCCTGGGTGGGGGACCTTCCCCAAGGGCACAACCCCAACACTTTTTCTCCTCTCTTTGGGACAGAGCAATCAGCAAGGAACAGTCATTAATACTTTATCAACACACTGCATCAACCAAGCTGAAAGTTTCTTCTTTGCTGAAGACAAAGAGTAAATCAGTGACAACACAGCACAGTCAGTGCCTGCCTTGGCTGCACAGGTTGCCTCTAAGGCACCAAAAAGGCAACACAATGTTTCTAATTTTCTCGTTTAAAATAGGGTTCCCCTCAAATCCCAGAGCATTCCTTCACATTCTGCAACTGATCCCTTGCACATCACTGCATTAGGGGTAAGATGAACTGTATCCAGCACTGCACTAAAGCCATTAGATGCTATTTTAATCACCTGGAATTTTGACTTGTCATCTTCAAATGGTGGATTATTTTCTTGCTCTTTCCTTAAAAATACACTGGTTCCTCTGTGTTGTTCCTCTGAATCCTGGAAAAGGAGATACTAGGTAGAGAAATGAATGAGACTTGGTGCTGTTTGGGATATTTCAAAGCTACACAGCTGGACAATGCAGCTCAGATCAGCAAAGCCTTTTGCAGGCAGAGCCTTGCACAGGCAGAGCCTTGTTCAGTGTGTTTATGCAAATACAAAGAGACAACAGAGTTGTACACCGAGGCAAACACTACAGACCATGGCAGCAACAAGGGCAGCAGGAGTTAGATTTAATCTAATTCTGATCATAATTAAAAAAAAATAAAATTATTTCAAGGTATTTTAGGACAAAATGATGAAAATTCCCAAATCTGTCATTTGGGAATTCTTCTCCCTAAATATCAACAAAAAGCTTCAAAAGAACTAAAAGTTTAAAAGAACAAAACCACACAAATCTCCAAAGTTCACACAGTATTTTACATTTTTGTTCACGGACAAGCTGCTTGTCTTTTTATTTCACCCTTAGCTCCAGCATGATTAAATACTGTGCCAACAATTCCTTTTACTCCTAATTGTATGTTGTAATCAACAAATAGTAACCAGGAACTGTGTGTGTGTCACCACCTGATTCAGCCTCCTGTCTAGAGATAAAAGACTAAAATTAGATCCATTACAGGAAGAGGTGAGACTGTACTTGCTACATTTGATCAGGAAAAATCCTGCAAGACTCCTGCCAAACTAACTCCTGGGTCATCTGGGTGCAAACAGAAATGACAGCCCTCACTGGCTTTTCTTTTTTAATCAGAGTAAGTAGAATGTGATAGCTGTGGCCTAGTAATGTTCAAGGGCTTTGGATCAGAAGTGGGTCAGTTATGTCAGGGACTACACAAACCCACCCAGGACTCGTGCAGGCAGGAATTCCTTTCAGACATGGAGCACAAAAGTTACTTACTGTGCTTTTCAGCAGACTGGTGACTGAGTGGTCACTGATGTTCTCCTGGGAGGCAGGGGATGAGGGACTGTCCTCCTGCACCTGGGTGCAGGCAGCATCTGAAACAGCTGCTTCATCTGAAATGGTTTTGCCACTGCTTTCTTCCATTTTTTTGGTCTCACAGTCACCAACAGAATCAAACTGAGCAGCTCTGAGAGCAGCAGACAACACTTGGACCTGAGCTGTATAACACAAACAACGACTGTTTAGTCTCCCTTCTGCATTTAAAAGCATTAAACTTGTAGTTAATTCATCTGAAAAAAGAAGCCCAGTATGAGCTGCACAGAAATGGTGTGTTCACAAACATTTGCTCTTGGAAAGAAAAGGCCTCTTACTCTGGAGCACTCAAGAGACTTGGTGAAACAAGAAACTGAGTAGACTATGGATGACAAAGATGGATTTGGTCCAGGAAACACCCTCAGACCCCACCACCAGGCCATTATCACTTCAATGTGTTCCACAACGGGCCTATATTGGGTGGCTATGGAGGGATAACTTGGAATTAAGGCCATTCTCAGCCAAGTATTAGATGAATTCAGCTGATCACAGGCAGTACTGTCGCTAAAACCACAGTACCTACAGTATTTGGAATCTGTTAAAACTGTCTTTAACAAGCTCTTGTCTCTTTAACAACCCTTTTGTAGTTAGATCAATTTATTTCTCATGCCAACAGAAGCCAGGAACACTTCCCCAGCTGTTCTAGAAATACCTCAGGTCTTATGAAAAAGGCTGTTGCATAACTTTCTACTATAATTTAGTGCTCAAGGAAGGTCAATTAAAAAGCAGTCAGGGGTTTTGTAAAGGCCAGGAGAAAACCTGCTCAGAGAAAACATGATTTTACTACTACAGAGTCTCTCACCTTGAACATCTGGATCATCTATGTGCTCTTGTAAGCTTTCTAGAACTTTTTTTATTTCACTACTAGCAACACAGTTATTGCATGGCACAGAACAGCTCTCGTTGTGCTTCTCAGTCTTGAACTGGAACAGCTCCAGCTCCCGAGTGATGTCAGGCAGAGGAGGGCGCCAGTACAGGAACGTGTTGAACACGTCCTCACCACACCTGGAGGGCATTCCAGGGATACTGCTGTCCTTGGGGACCTCAGGGACACCAGCACCAGCTCTGCCACCCTGAGACAGGCAAGACACATCTTCTCCAGGACTGGCACAACAATCTGAACCTTCTTCCCATGTGTCTTTATTCAGGTTCTCAGAGAGCTTTGTGTTCACTTCTGCTGAAATCTCCTCAGTTGGTGCTTCTGGTTTGATTTCCATTGGTTGTTCTGAGCTGTAACAGACACACACATTTACTGAAATACTCTGTAACAGCAGGTTTTCAGTGAAATAATTCATAAAAGACACCAGCAACAACAGAAGCTTTTCTCTACAGAAAGACAGAATTTATGTTACCACTATGCTTTACTGCACCAGTTTTCCCTTTACCCTCTGGTGAAGGCAAAGTGAATTTTTCAATAAACTGGCTACACTCAAATGTGTGATCTCACTTCTTTTTTCCTAGAACTATATTCTCAAGCTGAGATCTTTAGCCTTGACAAGCAACAAAACCAATTAACTTCTTTTAATCCCTTCCACTACACCACCCGTTTTCCCACGATTTACCTGGACAGTGTAGCATTTGCACTGGAGGACATTAAAGTGACATTGTTGCTTGGCTGACAGGAATTGGAATTCCCATCTTGTGCTGGTGGTCGGATACTCAGTGTCCCATCTTCTCGAATGTAAAGCCCAGCACTTGAAGGGTTTGCAAAGGTAGAAATAAATGGGCCAAGAGACTGAAAAGCAGCCTGACGAACCTGGGGGGGTGCAAGAACAGTCAGGCTTCATCAGCTCCCAAAGAGTTGAAAAATGAAAATCTGGTGCAATTTTTTAGGAAGAACCAATTGGTTCTTACTGTAACAGCTTCATTTAATACAAAATACAACCAACTACCAAATAAGTGCCACCTAAGCAAAGGGTGTTAGAATATCAATCATGTAACTACAATCACTGTACAGAAATATTTTAAAAGTTATCAATTTGAAGGACATCCCTGTCTACTTCAATCTATTTAACACAAGCAACCTTCTCTCAGAAGGGTATTTACAGTTAGAATTTCTATGAACAGGGTTCTTTAAAAGTAATGAGAGAGGAAAAATAAGATCTGTCTTAATAGAAAAGATTAGTTTTTAGTGCATTAGACTCCAATCTCAGCAAATGTTCTTCAGCATACTTCTGACTTGCCCATTATTTCCCAGGATGTGTCTGGGAAGATGCACCAATTCCAGGGTGAGTTACTCACCCATCTGCAGGTGTCACTGATGAGGCTGATGAACAGGGGGGACAGTTTGCTCCTGCGAACCTCTGGGGACGTGGTGTAGGACACTGCCATGAAGCATTCAGCACAGGCCTTCCTCATCCCCCAGACACTGTCAGAACAGAGCTCAAAGAACTTGGGAATCTGCCAAAAAACAGCAAAACCAAGACTAATTAAAGGCTAAACACAGTCTGCAGCAATATCATGGTATTTGAAAACTGGACACAAACACAACTCAAGAGAACAAAGTGAAGAACAGAAGAAAGAGGGACAGGTTAAATACATACACTAATTGAAGGAATTGGGAAAAAACCCTAGCTGTCTCCCATTTAATCCATTAGAATTTTATGTATAATTATATGTAATAAGGAAGAATAGAAAGAATTATTAATGGCCTATTTTTCCTGAAATCATGACTTGATTGATTATCTAGTTTTGGGAAAAAAAGAGTGAGTCAGTAATTCTGAAGTGTGTATGTACATATATAAAAATCTATATGTATATAAAATGTATATATACATACATAAAAATATGTATGTATATAAAAATATCTGCTGTCAATTACACTTTTAAACATGTTTTGCAAAACAAGAACTTTGCATCTCTCTTCATTCCCAGTTTTGCTATATAATTGCAACCAAGGCCTTAACCTAATCAACTAAAAAAAAGCATGCATGCTAAATAATTTATAGACAAGACAATAAAAGAGCACATTATTAAACTTTTTGAACTGAGAAATACAAGTCTTGTAAATTGATTTGGTTTTACATACCAGCAGTCTTTCTGTGGCTTCTTGCCCAACTGCATTACAAATGTCACCAAAATTAGCTGCACAAATCTAAGAAATAAAAAAGTCATTAACAACACTGTGTCTCTTTCAAGGGCATTAGTTTTATTATCATCAACTTCCCCATGGATTATTTATCCCACAAAACAACTGCACATGTTGGGACTATTCAAATTTCAGCCCTGTAACTACAGTGTGTAACATTAACTCATCCCAAACAAAGACTTGTTCCATGCAGTGTCCACACACCACATGCTTTGGAAATCAATTGTGACAAAGGTTTCTGCATGAAGAGCATCATCCACCTCAGTAACCAAAGAGGGGACAATAAGCCTGCCTGAAAGTTTAAATTACTTTGAGCAGCAGCTGTCAAACCCAAAGCAGGGGAACACATGATACCAGGGTCAGGACTTAGGTGTACTGACAGAACTATCCTGGCTCAAGGTGGCTTAAGTACTTTGCTGAGGCAAAGTTTAATCAAGAGCTCAAGTTAGTGCCATTTCCAGGCCATCAGAGAAGCTATAATTAAGGCAAAAGGGACATCCCCTCATGCTGGAAAAAGATGTTGCCAAAATCTGAACTCAATTAAGATAGGACTGTGTTAATACTCATTCTATTCACTTTATGTGCTTATTTACAAGGCTATAATGCAGCTCAAATTCCAACAAGTGCAGCTTATGTTACAGACCAAGCTGGAGCTCTGCGTGACCCTTAAGTCTACTCAAATATTTTAAGACTTCTTATGCTACAAGTTTCCTTTTGTACTCAAACATGAATTAATGTATTATACTTCTGGGATTTCTCCTTTCAATAGCAATAGATTAAAAAAAAAAAATTAAAGGAAGGATGTCTCAAATGTCTGTTATTTTTGAATTTCTGGTTTAAACGAGATGGTAGAGATGAGGTAATTTGTTTGCATCCTATAACCACTCACAGCAGCTTTAAAAAAAAAGTTGTGCAAAACTATTAAATGTGCAAGACCAGTTTAACTGCTGGACCAAAGCTATTCACCAAGGTCTGTTATCCATTTCTTTACTGCACCACAGAAGCTATAACCGTGCCAATAAATAAAAACTGCTCTTCCAGATGCTTTCAGAGTTCATCAGCTAAAGTAATGACTAAATTATTTAGGGAGGGATTTGAACAGCAACATGCAAGTTTCACTTTTAGGTAGCTTAAGAGTTGGAAACACACCAACCTTTCGGACTTGAAACAATTTGCCATCACTGCACAGTTCACAGAAACGAGGAAGCAGCATGTGCTCAACTGTTGTTCTGCTCAACATGGAGGCCATTTTACAGATTATCTGAAAAACAGGAAAGGGATGTGTGGAAGGAGAAGAAAATTATACAGCTTGTACACACAGCCAAATATTCCTCCTAAAAATTACCTCAGAGAGCAAGACAGCAAAAGTCAGATAGATTTAACTGTTACACGTTATTCGTGTTTTTATACACCTGTTTCACAGGAAAGACAACTATAGTTTTTATTTTAAATCATTCTATGCCACTGTGCCTGAACACAACATTTCTGCATGTAATTCATTGGCTTTTATCTCATTAAATAGACTTCCATCAATGTATTTGTTTTCAAGGTGTTTACAATGAGGCATACACTGGGATTTTGTAGAGAAGACAAAAATCCCATTGCACTTATAAAACCCACACTCTTCAGGCACATTAGAAATATCTCATACTTCAGCATGCAAGGAAGACATTGGGCTCTAGCAGGATTGTTCAGATACTTAAAAATGTGCACAGTCCCAGCTCTTTATAGGTTCAGACACCAAAATAAAACACAAGTTTGCCATACAACAGGAGAGAAAAGGGAGTGCAAGAAAAACGAGGTATATATGTGAGCTAATGCATACTGTACAGGACTGATCCTCAGGAACTTCAGGAGTTAACAGTGCACAGGTTAAAGGAAGTTAGTAACATTTTCACTACCATTACAAACCATGTTTCTGCTGTGAAAAATCAGGTGCTTTGGACTCTGTGTTTTCTTTCAGTTCTCAATTTCTGGGATAAGTTTCTGTAATTCTTGTATTTGTAACAGGAAAAAGCAAGGGGCTCCCATGCACCTTCCTACTCAACTGCTCTGCTCACAGCAACAGGAGTTTAATGCTTACACAGGTGTTGTCAGATTAACAGTACTCATCTATTTTTATTTTTCAAAACATGTTGGAGCTTTCTACCTTCACAAAAAATAAACTTTATTCCTTTCTAGGAATAAATGTTTGCCTTTTTAACAGAATGTTAAATAAGAACGAAGGAAAACACCATTCAAGGACTTTCTTACAAATTTTCCAACTCCTAAAAGGCATCTGGTGCTCAGATGTCATCCTGGAAAACTGCCTAAGCAATTCCCAACTCCCAAACAAGGAAGAGGAAAATCTAGCTGGTAAAATATTTTACAGGTCAAGTGTCAGATATCCATGCTGAAATGTAATTACACACCAGCACTTTTCTGTGGAGTCAACTGATTTCCATAAAGTCACCAGGCAATGTTTTTTTCATAACACTTCAGAACTCAGAGAGGTCATCACTGACACATCTACAGCGTTACTGTGAAACCTGGTGGAGCAAATGCAAAGAAGCTGCTGGGGAATAAAACAAATCTTAAGAAGAATTAAAACAAGGCTGCCAAGGAGTGATTGTATTTTAAAGTTATTCAGGTACCATTTTGACATCATTTAGCATGCTGAGGTATAAAAATGGTCTCTCTGTATTTTCAAGAATTCAGAACAAAAATTAAAGACTTGTCGTGTTAAACTAAAAATCCAAATATCTTAAAGAATAAACACAAAAAGTTTGATTGCTTATTTAATGGCAGTATTATTCCTGGACCTCATCTTAATTACCATTACAATTTAATGTTATAAACTTACATTCACAGCTTCCACCTTGTACTCATCATCACTGTCAGGGGCAGAGAGGTCCAGCAGGATGGGACACACCTTGTTTTCAATGTCACTCTGAGCCACAAGGTCCTGTTCCAGCAGTATCAGCAGTGCCTCCTGACCTGCCTTTCTAACCTGTACACAGGAACACATAAAACCAGTTTGTCACCATAAAACCAACATTTACTGATACAAGAACCACAAAAAAAAATTTTTTTTCAATGAACACACAGGTACAAGTTAAAAAAACAACAAAGCAGACCCATAAAGAGTCTCAGTTTTATGACCATGAGGAATTAGTAATAAAGACTACAGTTTAATATAACCATTAGATGACATTTCATCATATTCTGATGAGAAGTCAAAAGATGAAGCATAAAGCAGGACTTGCAAGTTATGACTCCTGTAACAGACCCCATCCCTGTGCTGCTGAGCCAATGCTATAAGTTTCCCATTATCTGCCAAGGAAAGAATTAAAAAAAAAAAAGAAAAAAATCAGACCTCACAGAAAAATGTGCTGACACCAGTAAACAGAGCACTGCATAAAAGCCAGGTGTCAATCAGCATGGAATTTCCTGTTATCTCTTTCCCATGCCTCCAATGCACTGAACCACACAGAATTTTCCAACAACTCAACTCATGTTGTCTGCTTTTCCTACCTGATTGTTAACATCTGTGAGGTATCTCACTACTATGGGCATAAGGTATTCAAAAAATGCTGTTGGGAAATTTGGTCTGCTTTCCTGCAGGAAAATGGCAATGGGAGGGATCTGCTCCATCAGCTCTGTACGTACAGTTGGCTCTAGAAATAAAAGGCAAAACTACATTAGTAAGTATGAAATTAAGATCAGGTACCTTAAGGAAAAAGTAGCGGTTTTCTTTTTGTTTTTGCAATAGAGGAAAATGAAAATAATCTAGAAAGGGCATTACAGATTGCCTGTCCTTCAAGGAAAACTAAATAAAATGGAATAGCCTTACATACATCATCACAGTTCAGACACTTGGCATTAGTTCCCAAAGAAATCAGATAAAATGAGGGCACTAGCTGGAAAACCCAGTCACCACAAATACATGCACATGAGGTATTAAAACACACAGCTGCTCTGTGCCACCTACACCACACAGTCAGATGTAATAAATTTCTTGAAAAATATCACTTCAGGCCCTATTCTAAGTAAGAACCTTTCATTTAACATCTTATCTACCACACAACATAGTTCAAAAGCAGAGAAAAATTGATCTTCTTTTCATTGACAGACATTGTTGTTGGATGATTTAGTTCCCTTAGTTCACTCTTTGCCTCTCAAAATTGAATATCAGTACTTTATATATTGCAGCTTATGTAAAATAAACTACAAAAATTAAAAAAACCCAAGCAAAACAAAGCTTTCAAACCTGCATCTTCAGAGAGCCTGACCACTATTTCCATTACAGTCAGGAAGTCTTCTTCATTGTTACTGAAATCTCGAAAGACATCCAGAAGACCTCTGGCAATAATTTGCCTGTGGAGTGAACAACATTAATTGCCATAATATCCAGCCAAAAACATGTAGATGGGACACCAGGGGAACTTATCCAATGTAAATGGGCACCTTAAAAAGACCTCTGACCGTTCTACATCCCAACCAAAGAAAGATGGAATCAAGAGAACTTATTCAGATAACCAAGAACGAAAACCTCTTTTCATGGAAATGTTATACAAAAGTTATTCAAATAGAAATAATAATATGCATGTGCTTGGGAGATTAATAAAAGACACAGTGACACCTTAACCTCCTCAGTGCACTCAGTTATCACCAGGTGTGGCTGTTGCACCCTTACCTGTTAAAGACATTATCGCTGAAGGCGTATTTTTCTAGACGAGCCAGTGGAGTTAAGTTATCCTGTCCAGGGATATCCAGGAATGCTGTTATCCTCATGCTATCACAGTCTGGCCCATAATCTTCAAATCCAACTTGAAAGACAAGAAAAGTAACAGACAAAAAAAAAAAAAAAAAAACAAAGCCCAAGAGTCAGCAAGAGATGTTACAATGGAATACATGATAGCAGTAACTATTTCTTCAAGAGTATTTGAGAACATCACTGGAAACAGCTTTCCAAAACCAAAAAATCTTAAATTGTATCTAATGAAGTTGAGTGCAACACTTGCACATAGCTCTGTAAATTTAAGCTTTGATATTTAATTCAACTGTCAAAATCCTTGGCTTTAAACACACTTGACTTTGCCCTCTGAGTGCAGTAACCACGTGCATTTTGAGTTAAGAGGGCTCAGCTCACACAATTGCCACAAACTGACCCACAAATTCAAAGAGAAAATAAGTCCCATTAAAAGGAACTGAAATTTTAACAGTTGTAGCAACTCTCAAACTGTATTGCTTTAAAATAGCAAATTCCTATGTCTTTTTCCAGCTTCCCAGGGGACATTTTTCTCACTGTAGTTACTGAGTTGCACATATTTAAATCAGACCGGTAGCTTTGGGAAAAACTTCACCTTCACCATACTTGGGAATATGCTGGGGGCTTCCTGCTGCAGATCCATCAACTACAGACTTTTCCACACAAGCATACTCTGTTCTAAACCTTTTTTGTATTTGCAGCTTTAGACTTTTACCCAAGTATTAAATTTGCCTCACCAAGTCCAAGAGTCCCCTAATCCAGTAACAATTACAGATTACAGGCAGAAGGTAAAACTGTGAGAAGGAAATGGAATGGGATAACTGTGCTGTCAGACTTATTTTAATCTTTCATCCTTAAAACAGAGACAGTGAAATAACATGCTGGCATCACACCAGTGCTCTCATTCCAGCCATGGATACAGGAACATGTACAGCAACCAACTCCATGGAAAGAGTGGCACTGGAGTAGCTGATATTCCTGCTCTGGGTTTACAGTTGTCCCCTCCTAGAACTATGCACACTTCTTTCACACAAACAGAGCAACTGTGATCATACTTAAATAAATGCAAATTGTGCCAACACAGCTTCTCACATGCAAGAAGTATTGCAAACCAGCACATGTGCTGAGAGTGACAACCACTGAAGACAACAAGCCAAATCCTTTGGCTCTGAACTACAGTAATACCCATTATAAATCACTTTTAATGTTAAAAATCCCTCTTTTTTCCAATAGAAAAATTCTTATTTCATATATAAAACTCTCCTTTCCAACTGTTTAACATGAGTCAAAACATCCTCAGAAATAAGGCTCATTTAGAGAGGAAATTATCTGAACATACTTGGAGCAAGATGTTATACCTGGGTCCTCAGGGGGAAAAACATAAAAATCAGATTGGTTTAAGGTCTCCACAGAACCCAGGTGAGTTAAAGACCAGAGCAATTCCAAATTCTGCTGCTTATGCAGACAACGTGCTCAACAAGCTCAGTGGGGTTCAAACAGCAGAAAACTGTGGGCTTAGAGTGAGTGTTCAAATCCCAAATTTACACGCAGGCACTACCAGTGAACCCACAGTTATATGACCAGAAACAGCTGCTAATTACTCATGGCTTTGTATGGTGATGAGGTATTGCACTGACGCCCTTATTTCCACCCCACTGCTCCTTAAAGAAGGATCTGTCGGGTTCAAAACATTTCTCTGCACCAGTGTAAACAACTTCCAGTGCAGGGATCCATCTGGGATCCATCTGCTCCAGGACTTCCCCAATCACAGCACCTGAACATCCAGATTTGCTGCTTCAAAAGAAACCTCTGTATCCGTGACAGCTCAGGGGAAGTTACAGTGTCTGTGGGATTGCAGATTTCCTTTCTGAGGTTGCAACAAACCCTCCACATCCACACTCGACTCTCATCATCCTTATAGCTACAGTTATAACAAATGTATTTTAAAATGCACACAGACTGAACACTCACTAGCTAATTTTTGAGCCTAGTCACCTGCTATACAAAGGAAGATTTATTAGGGCTCAAGAAAACAATTAGGAGCAATATACTTGTCATTAACTCCACCTGGCTCCCACCTGTCCCCAATTAGAAACACTTTAAAAATGAAGGCTTTTATTAGTTCACTTTGAATATTTCAGAATTTCTACCAATTCAAATGACAATGAAATAAATCCCAATTCTAACTTTGACTACTATACCACACCTGGGACTAGTTTTGTAAACATGATGAACATGTTTAATTTTACTACGTGAAGTAGCTCTATTATTCATTTAAATCACCTAAGCACATACCAGTGCTTCCAAGGGTAGAGAGAAAACAGAGCACTATTACTTATGCTCAAGATGGAGAGTTAAATACCTGAAATTTTTTCCACACACTCTCACTACACACAAGTAAGGAATAATCATGGCAGAATCCATTTTGTCTTCTCTCAGGAATTTTTTCTTTTTCCATAAAAAAAAGAAGCCATAGGTACTTACAGGTTTCAGAATACACCAGAGTACTATGAAGTAAATCACAAATAATGAACTAGCATTCTTGTCTAACGTTCTTTCACAGCTAAATCTAACATTCAGTATTTTCCTATTTAACTATATTAAACAAGTAAGCTTGAAATCTGTCCACCTCTGAGGAGGAATAAATGTGCCAGTACCCAGAGCTGAACTCGAGTTCATTGTGTCTCAGTGTGCCCCAGACTCAAAAGCTGCTTAGAGCCTGTAAGAAACTCAGGGTCACAAGATGCAACTCAATGTCATCTCCCAGTGCCACTATTCACATTTCACAACACAAACCAGTAAATACCAGTGCAGAGTGCAATGATTTAATGAGCTCAAGGAGGTCATTTTCCCTCCTGGTGTTTGTAGAAGGAAAACCAAATTCTTTAAATACTTTCTTTTTAAATGTTCAAAGGGCATAAATAAGCTAATTATTTTTCCAGATGATCCATTATCTCGTCTTAGAGAAAACAAGCTTCAAACTGCACTTGAATTTAGGCAGATTTTACTACAGCCTTTTGCCACATTCAGAGTGATCCTCCAGACTCTGTCTCAATCTTCAGTGTGCATGACACTTTCACCAACTTAGTTAAGAAAGTAAAAGTCCAGTTCCAGTGACATATTTCACTGAGGTTTCCCTAAAACACATCATGAACTCTTTGCTAATCTAAGTCACTGATTAGCACAACAATATCTCACATGGAACCCCTGAACTCTGCTACAACAGAGACAACAGCTTTTGATTCCATAATTCTAACTGTGTTATCAAATTAGTGAACTTAATCAAAGAGTATTTTAAATCATAAAATAAGACTTTAATAATGCTCTAAAAGGCACATTTATTTATATGCTCATGCTAAAACCGATAATTTCTCTTATTAATTACCACTTATGGCAAAAACTTCTTTATCTGGACATTTTTATTAACTGGAGTTTTGCCTTAGAAGCATCAAACTTTTTAATCAATTTACCAGGCACATGTATCACAGTCTCAACAAAACAGCCAAAGACTGAGCACTAATACAGAACAAACACTTCTAGGAATGGGCACCCCTGGTCCAAGGCCAAAACCCATAACAGAACCACTACTAAGTTCGAGTTTATTTCTGCTGTTTGCACTTTAAACCTCAAAGACTGAGAGTAACAACTAACAGAATCCCACAGAGGCACCTCCTCCCACAGAGGCAACGTCCCTGCACATCTTCCCAATGGAAGACTTGGGATCCCACTTGTGTCCCAGCATTTCCCCTGGTGTTCTGAAGACCATCGTCTTAATAAATCTGCTACACGTTTTCAAGCACTATTAAACAATAACGGTCTTGTGATAAACAAATACAGTTTCTCACAAGAAACACGCACAAGTATCATTCTTCGTTTCTTTTTAATAGAAAAGTCAATCCAGCATCCGAAGTGCCAATGAAAGCACCCCACAAAGAAAGCTGCTTTCTAAAGCCATACAAGTTCGTATCATCGTTAGTCAGGGCTTTATCTCCTCAAATCACAGCGCTTACCAAGCCGTGCCCAGGTCTGACAGGTGTCCGACTCCTCTGTAACACAGCCCTGGGCTACACCGGCTTGGGGTGGAGCTGTTCCCTGCCCTGGGACCCACGACAGGGTTCTGAGCCCAAAACCACGGCTTTGTGCGACCCAACCGCAGCACACACGGCGATTGTTGTTCCCTTTATCCCGAGGCGCGCTCGCAGCACATCCTGGGGATGCAGAACAGCGGAACACGCGTCCTCAGCAGCCTCTACAGCCTTGGAAAGTCAAGTCCTTAATTCCCACCGACCACAGGAGCGGGGCTGCTCCCCCGAGCCACCCGTGCGCCTTTTCCAGGCTCATCGCGGAGCTGCCAGAGCTGCTCTTTACACCGAGCCCAGCGGCCCCTGGAACCAGCGGGGATGGTCCCAACGCCCTGTACACCTTCACCTGCTAGAACTGCCTCAACATCCTCCCCTCGCCCTCACCGGGGTGGAAATGCGGAGAGGGAAAGAGGGCAGCAGGAGGACCCCCGGGGCGGGAGCGGGGGCCTGAACGGGGAGCGGAAAAATAAAAAAAACAGTTACTCACAATCATCTAAGTCATCCTGCAAATCCACAAAATACAAAGGGATCCCTACAAACGAAAAACAGAAGAGAGATACCAGGGGGGTTGGTTTCGGAGGGACGGGGCAGCCCCGGCTGAGCCGCCCGCCCGCCGGCCAGCCCCACTTACCGGCCATCTTGGAATGGACATGGGCGAGGAGGAGGAGGAGCGGGAGGGCACAGGGAGGAGCCGCCGGCGCTTCCTGCCGCCGGGTCAGCCCCGAAACGCCACCGGGTTGAACGAGCCGCGGGCTGCCGGGGTCGGGCGGCCCCTCAGCGCCTGAGGAGAAGAAGAGGGGCGGGGGCGCGGGGCGGGATTTCGGCGGCCGCCCAAGATGGCGGCGCGGCGCAGCCTGAGAGGGCGGGGCGCGGGTAACGGCGGCGGCGCGCGCGCGGCCGCGATGATCGAGCTGGGCCGCGTCTCGCTCTCGCTGAAGGCGCGCCGCCCGGCCATTGGCGCTGAGGGGCTCAAGTTGCCTTTGGGGGTAAGTGTGGGGGGCGGAAGGAGGGGGAGCGGGAGGAGAGGCTCCTGTCAGAGCCCGGGGAGCCTCCGCAGTGATGGTGGGGAGCCTCTGTCAGAGCCCGGAGAGGCTCCGGCCGCGGGGATCCGCTCCCCGGGCGGAGGGTGCCCCTCACCCCGTTCCTCTGAGGGGAGCGGGCCTTCCCCTCCTCAAGGGAGGCGTTTGCCAGCCGTCAATATCGGTCCTTTTTTCCCCCGCGTTCTCCTTTTAAAAAGGAGAGAGGAAGCACGAACATCCAGTGTATGCTTCCCTCTTCCTCATAAGGTGTTCCGGGCTTGGAGCTCGCAAGGTAAATAGAAGCACCTGAAATCAAAGTGGTGGGAGAGAGGGAGGGGCCTAAACTTTTATTTTAAGGACATACGGAGGCTTGGAAGCCTTGCAGGTAGGGGAAGAAGGAGTCGCGGTGCAAACTGAAGCAGAAGTTTAAAGAATTCAGGGCTGTGAATTTAGTCTTGGTTTAGGCAGGGAGCCTCTCGTTGAGCAGGTGGAGGTGCCATCACCTGCATTGAAACCCTGCGTTGAACTGAGTCGGGCAAGAGTTTTCTGCTTCTAAATGGCCACGTTGACCTTCAGAGGGGAAAATTATGTGTTTGTGTGCCCTTCGCGCTATGAAAGCATTTGGGGTAACTGCTGTTTGTGTCCTCCCGACCTGAGAAGCCTTTTGTCACGTAAGAAGAGGAGAATAAGCGCCCAGGAAAACTGGAACTCCCAGAGCCGGGAGCCACATCTGTATTTCTCTGTTTAAGGTTTGCTCTGCTTAATGAGACTGCAAACAATATAAAATGTTGTTTTTTTAGAAGAACTGGGATAATATGCTTTTCCTCGAGAGGAAAACAGCTTGGCAGGGTAAACTGAGTCATACGTACTGCACCCAAATTTACTGCAATATTCAGAAGATTCAAAAAACCGTACGAATAACGTACAACTTCATTTTCAGTGAAGCACTTCCTCAGGGTTTTTTTTCATTAAAATTTTGATGACTCTGGAGATATAAAGCAAGAAGTTGGTCTTCAGATGTATTAATTACATTACAATTTAAGATGTCCATCTACTGAGAAGAGTTTACTGAGTAATTTCGGTTCTAGATATGACTTGTATATATCTGTTTTTTTCACCATGGAATCAGTGGTGCAAAAACATACACGACCCAGAATTTTCATGTTATGTTTCCTCTCCTACCATTTGTAGAGTTGCATTAGTAACATGTTTCAGGTGTGTCACAGAAGAAATTTCAAGTCTTTCATTAAGCAGGGTGGGACAGCATTAGTCAGAGGTTAAATGCATGTGTCACACTTGTATAATTCCATGTGCTCCATTGGTCCTCCATCCTGCCAAGCCATACTCAGTTGCTGTGTATTTTACTAATAGTGGTCTTTCCCTGCTGCTGTTCAATTGCAAGTTTTCCATAACTTTGGAAAAGAAAAGTTTGAATAATAAATAATAAGCGTGAATGCAGATTTTTATAGTCCTTCATGAAAAGTCACAGCAGTTTTGTTTAGAAAACTGTGACTTGTCGCAGGCCTTTCCTTTTTCTACCAAATGAATATAATATTTGAAGTATTTCATCATCTAATTTCTCTGAGATTCTCGGCAGGAATGTATTATCACCATGTACTGCAAGATCTGAGGACAAAATATCATCTGTTTATAGTAACTAATGTCACTTTCAACTGTTTCTGTTCTTTTTTTAGGACACTGGTGTGGGCAAATCAAGTATCGTGTGGAGATTTGTAGAAGATAGCTTTGATCCCAACATCAACCCAACCATAGGGTAAGAAACTGAATAAAGCAGATGTGATTTATTCATGAATAAAATGAAATTATCTGAATAGATTGCTCGAGGATTCTCCATGTGTGGCAGCTAAATGTGGCAATAAACATGACTGCAGCCTTAGTGAAGCTGCTGAGCTGCCTTAGGACACGTAGGAGTGTTCTCACTTGTGAAGCTCACATGTTCATCTGTAAGATCTGGACCCGTTTTTTATTGTTTATCTAAGCTAACAGTGAATAAATTACCCTATAGATGCTTTTGCTAAAGGGACAACACTCTTTTCTTATGCACTACCTTTAAATTGCAACTTCTAATTATTATGCAACTGCACGGTTTTTAATTTATTTTTTTTTAAATACTCAAGTACAATTACAAGTGTCCTAGGTTTTGAAGGTGGTTAACATAATAATTTAGGTTGTAGATCTCTCCCTGAATTAGTTCCAGTGCTACACATCTGTGTGCAATGCACACACAAAAGTAACTGGTGAAACTGTTCATGCAGTTGGTCTCACAGGTAAGGAGGGTGTTTAAAAGCTGAGCCTCAGAGCAGCAACATTACTGAGCTCAAATCTTCAAATGGGTGGAAGGAAGGGCAGTAGGAAGTAACTGGACCTTTTTATTTCTTTTGCTGTCTTTCTTTTTGCTTTTCAAGTACCTTATGGGCTGCTTTGATCAGAAGCAGTCCTTGGCTTAGGGGAGGACACACTTTGCTTGATGCCCAGGAGTGTGTGCTGGTGTCAGTGCAGCTTCCTGCCTCAGGTGTCACACAGGCTCTCCTGCAGCTCTGACCAGAAGAGATCCTGCTGATCAAGATCAGCTGTGTCTCATCCTGTCCTTCTAAAAAATTGGGCTCCCCATGATCTCTTTCTCTCTTTCCCCTTACACTCCCCCTCCACACACTTTTTGAGTGTAAATACTGGTATGGACTTGCAAGATGTTCTGTGGGAAGTGTGCTTTTGTTTAAATTTCCCTGTTAACAGCAGCAGCTTTTGGAATGAACTTCATCAAATCTTGTTGTCTTTCCTCTGGAGTCAGTTTGTTTTGATCTGGTGATTTTCTGCCTGGTGTGTGGGTTGATTTTGTTTTCTCCTTTTATTCTCCTCCCTGCAATGTAGCACCTCCGTGTTTGAAGGCAGGAATCCAAAGAAATCCCTTGCATGTGTCTTCCCAGGGGAATGTCTGTCACTGTGGAGGGAGTTCAGGTGCTGTTGGAAGGTGTTAGCCATTGTGGTGAGGAGGCTGGTGTGTACAAGAGAATTTTCCTTCACTGGTTTAATGACAGTACTGAGATTAGTACACTTGATTGAAGTGACAGACTAAAAATCTATCTTCTACCAGTCTTAAAATCATTCCCTTGTCTGAGGACTTGGTATCTTGGTAGTTTGCTACAGTAGCATAAATGAATCAAAACCTGCCCAAAGGCAGGGGTTCTGTGAAGCTCCAATAAGATACACAGACCCAAAATTTTAAGCAGATTAACTTTGAAATTTATTTTGGACCTTGCTTTTATTTCCTGTTTGAGACTAGTAGGTGGAAAGAACAAACTAAGGATTAGAGAGGAGTTTTGAGCACCTTACAAAACTAAAGCTGAAAATATTTTGACTTCATGGGATACATGTTTGAGTTCATGATGTGAGATACAATCTTGTTTCCTGTTCTGTTTTCATTCCTCTCAGAACTATCTGAGCACTCACACATTGTTGTTGTGAATATTCATCACAAAAGTTCAAACATGAGCAGCTGTAAAAGCCCTGTCAGAATTCTGCAACTCTTGTCTTCTCAGGGTGTTGAGGACACATTTAACCAGTCTCTAGGTACTGCAGAATACCTAGTCTTTCATTATAGCATCAAAAAAGAGTTATGAGTATCAAACTGCTTTCAGGTACATCTTGTTCAGGTAGTTACAGAGCCCTCTTGGCTGGGAGAAGCAGCAAGGAAATGTAGTAACAAACCAGGCATTATCCCTACTAAAAGTCATCAGGGATAACTCATTTGGAGGCTTTCGTTGACCCAATTGGCAAAGAATTTCAAGCAACATTTAACCTCTGTTTTCAGCTACCACTTGGGATGTTTAGTTGTGATGTGAATTACAGAAACACAGCTGTTCAGTTCATATTGACTGTACAGGCCTGTTTTGGTTTATGGAACCAAGTAAGATAAATTCAGTGAGAATCAGTGATTTAGGAAACTGTTTCCATGTCGGCCACAGAATTCGGATTTGGTGCTTATTTTGCAGCAATCTTAAGGAAGTGGAAGTTTCTGCTGTGCTTTACAAGAGATGCTCCTATCACTTTGTTTTTCTTTACTCAGTGCAGAAATACATCAACTAGTTAATGGTGTTGAAATGCATTGCAATTAGGCCCTTCCTTTGCAGGGGTTCTGCAACCTTATATTTGGCTTCTTAAAAGACTAATCAACTTTGGAGACTTGATGTACTATTTGGCAAATGAGCTGGGCTTAAGGAATGGGGAGAAAGTTACCTCCAAACAGTTGGAAACATTGTGTAACTGCTCCTTTTCCCTTTTTTTTTTAACATAGATAGTTATTTGTCCTCCTATAGCATTGAAACATGTCCAAAGACTCCAGTTATACTGAATACAGAAGTGTCAGGAACATCATTAAAATCTGTGCCCTGGTGGTACTTCAGATCCAAGATAAACTTGAGTCTTGGGCATTTAATGTTGTTGATCATGCTGAAAGGCTCCTGCTGAGTCTGACTGTACAGCAAGTACAGCTGGGGTGCTGGAAGAGGCTCCAGTACCTTCAGAATCCTGTCCAAAACTGACAGGAAAGCAAGTTTGGAAGTCTGCAGTATTTTCAAGTGACAAGCATTAATCATATAAAAGGTGTTCAGGATCACAATGTAGGATCTCGTGCTTAAAATAACTATGTCACCTATAGTTCCAGTTTTACAAGGATTTGAATTCACTGTGTGGCTTTTCTAGTAAAAAATGTGCCTACAGGTAATAGATATAGCAAAGAACTCCCTCTTGTAAAAGACTAATTCTCTGAATTTGTGTTCTTATGGGAAATACACTGATTCATCTAAAGCAGATCAAGCAAACCACAAAGTACTTTGCAATATTTTACTGTAAAAGATCTAGAATTTGGGCGAGGGGAGAAGCAGCTGGAGAATAGGAAAGATTTTTTTTTTTTTGTCTTGTGCAAGTCCAAGAGCCTCTGCAAACTAAGTATATAATGACAGACAGGGTTTGGGAGCTGCACTGAGTGCAGACAGCAAGCAGGTTACTCATTATTGATTTCTCTGTCCTCTTAACACCTACCAGTAGTGATACAAATCTCCCATACCAGTAGTGATACAAATCTCCCATATTTTATTCCCAAGTATGGACATACCAACATTTACCTGAATGTTAGTACAGAGATAGAAAAAGCTGATACAGAGAGAAGGATTTGACCTCTTTCCCCCTGGAGGTTTCCAGTGTACACTGAAGGGATTTGCTGTGATGATTCCTTCATTTAGGGAGAATATTGTTAAACAGCTGACCTTTCTGGGTTCTTTGGGTGATACATGTGGTTTTATCAAAAGCTTGTTAATAATTAAAGCTTATAATTGGCATTCATGTTGTGTTTTGTTAGTTGAATTTCAGGCTCAGAAAGGAAATTTCATCCTCATTAATTTCAGTGGTTTTTATCTGAAACTCTCCATCAGTTTGTGTGGGTATGTGTGGGGAAGGCACTTTTATTGGAATGTGAACCTCTCTGAAAGCTCATGGTGGTAATGAATGTTCTAAGGATGTATACATGAACTGTATTTTTTTTCCAGAGCCTCATTTATGACCAAGACTGTACAGTATCAGAATGAGCTGCATAAATTCCTGATTTGGGATACAGCTGGACAGGAGCGGGTACGTAGAGTCAATACCTGTGCTGAAAGTTGTGGCCAGAGTTTGGGTTGCTTTTCAACTCTGCCCCTGCAGTCACAATACTAATCAAATCTGATGGTGTTAGAAGCCATGTCAAAGGAATCTGGTTTGTAATTTAAATTTCAGTTTGGTAGTTTGGGGGTTTGATCTTTGCAGCATGCACAGTTCTGAGAGGAGGCAATAACAGCTCTCAAGAAAATGACTAGTTAAATGAAAACCCAGTTAATTAATTTGCAGGATTTTTACTTGGAATTTTAAAGGGCAACTTTGCTAGTGAACTTGCTTGTTTATGAATTACTAGTAACAGTGGTAGAAATCACAGCAGCTGTATTAACAGTGCTTATTCTTGCAGTTTGTTGACTGCAAGTTAACTACTGGCAGGTGCCAGTTACTCCTGATGAGTTTATTTAGGCTGTGAGTTAACTGTAACAAAGATTGGGTCATTATTTCAGGATAACAGCTGGCAAATGCAGCTTTACTATTTTTCAGGATTGGCTTGAGAAACAGAGCCCAAACAAACAACCCCTCAATAGGAACAAACAAACAAAACACCTTGTAAAGGCTCAGTCAATGCAGAGTCACTTTTGGGTTCCTGGTGGAACTGCCTTTCCAGCTTTTTAGCTTGATAACAACCTTGGTGGCTAGAAAGCAACTCAAGGATATTTGTGTTGCATTTCAGTGCTGTAGATTTTGAATGACAATTCATTTCCGTCCAACAGCACCATATAAAGCAAACTTATGTTGTCAGGGATGTTTCCCAGGAATATGTCCAAGAGTATCCATGTTATCAAAAATATCTCAAGTCCTTCCATTACTAGCAGTCAGTCAGCATTGGCTGTAAATAGTTTGTCTTAAGTGAACATCCTAGCCCATTTGGGAATGTTGAGACTGAAATGTGATATTCTGAGAGATAGAGTCTGAATTTTGAGAGGTTGGTACTCTTAACTGGAAAGCTTTATAAACATGCCTGCCACAGCTTGGCAGGAAACATCCATTACATATCAGCAATTCCATCCTGTCCACTGTGTCTGCAAGGAACAAGTTGACACGGTGGTTTGGATTCAGCACACTGCAATCTGAGGAAGCATCTCTGTATATGACCAGCATGTTCCTTGTCTCTGTCTATTTTTAGACTGAGTGATACGTCTTTAATTTTCTTCTGTACAAGTTGAACGATATCTTTATTAAAATCAAAAAAAGGAAAGGTCTTACAGGGCTCTGACCCAAGAGCTGTGATAGCTGTGAAGCTCATGTTCCATACCTGAGAGAACTTACTGTGAGACTCCAATATAACCAAGGAATATAACCCCAATATAACCATGGAATGTAAGCAAGGATATTTAGTTTGATATGATGCAGTATCTTCACAGGTATTTCTTTGTCCAGAACAGGACAGCGCTGTCACTCACTGCCAGTCACAAATGGGCTGCATACCCACCTTGCCCTGAAATCTGTACCAGAGTTTTCTGGTCATGCAACACATCTGACAATGAATTATGGAAGGGATCTCCTCCCTGGTGATCTGGAATACCAGAAACATCCACACCATTCTTGGAACTAGGATATCTCTGCTGAGCTGGGATGAGGAATGCACAGAATTCACAGTCCTGGCTTCTTGAGGAGCATTTGCTATTTCCCATTTCAAAAGCCCAGCAGCAACTAGTGCTACACTGCCCTGGGCACTCCCTTGTTCTCAGAGGTGGGAATGGGCATTAATTCACTTCACACACCTCATTGCCCTAAACACACACCTTATTTCTTCCCTCCTTTCTTCTACACTGACTCAAACTGATAGGAGGTTACTTACAGCAATTAGGATTTTTGCCTTCTTAACAGTTTTGAGTTTCTCTGGATAATTACATTATGTAGCCTTAACAATTCTGTCAGAACATGAATTGGAGGCTGGAGGGCAAGCTGAAGTCTTTGGAAATATTGCAAAAGGAAAATTCACTGTTCCTGGTAACATCTGTTTTGTTAATATATTTTATCTGCCGACTGCTCTTAAGGTGGAAAAAAGTATCTAAGTGTTAGCAGACAGGAAATGAGAGTAATACAAAATCAGCAAGTGAAAGTTGGTTTATTCCCAATGTAAATAGTCAAATAATCAAAAAGCCAGGTTGCAACCAGTCCAAGTGGTGGTTTACCAAATATGTTTCCCTCTACATTTTAGTGCTTAGGAGGAAGAGAGGGATTATGTCCCAATGAACTGAATGCCTGCCCATGTTTCCCTTTCTCACTATTAAATATTTTTATATTCTGAACTTTGTGTTCAAAATCCTATTTTCAAAACAGAATTTGAGAGCCAAATGTAAATGGTCTGGAATTCTGCTTTATAGCAAGATTTTTATGATTTATAATATTGCTCTCAGTTGAACTGCACTAAGCAAAAGGAAATTGATATTTTATTAGAACTGAATAAGCCTTTATGAAAAACTGTATCCAATTCATTATTTTTACCCTGAGTAACAAGATGCACAAAAGTTCTAAATGTGCTTATATGGAAGCAATATATGCAGTTCACTCTGTACTCTGATGGAGGGTTTTGGTTGCTAGATTAGTTGTCTTGTTTTTTTTTTTAAGTTGGCAGAATATCACAGTGTTTATAAGAATGTTTCATTGATACTTTTGATGCAACTTGATCATGTGGTTTATGACTTTTTTCAGTCCTGGATTCATAACACTCTCTCAGGGCAAGGATACAGGCCTGGTTTGTACCCTGCAAATGGCCTACCATCCAAATAGACCTGCTGTAGATTCAATTCTGAAAATAACAAGAAAATTACTGCAGCCTTTTACTGCCTAGTGTTGTTCCTTAAAACTCTACTTGCAACAGGTCACACAGTTGTGGCCTTTTGCAGTTTTTAGTTTTAAACATGCTTCTAACTTTTGAGAGAAAAACTGAAGTGAAATCTTTAAAACCTTAAGTTAGATTATGAAGAAACCAGCATTTCTAGCATTTGAGAGTTCTGGGACTGATCCATGGGGCTAGAGCTTGACACTAACTTCTGACCATTTCACATCAGCATTAATATATATTAATTTTCTTGACATTTTTGTCTTAGTCAAAATTGAACTTGCTTCTTGCTCTATTTTTCTCCTTGTTTGGTGTTTAAAGTTGAGCGTTGAGTTTGTGTACAATTGACAGTCTGTCAGGTGAGAGATTCTAATCTAGTCAAAACAAGCTCAGGTTTGATTCCTGCTGTTTGCAGTAGGTGTGCTGCTGAGCCCAAACAGCTCCTGGTTGCCCTTTGGAGAACAATGCCCTGCTGGGCCCCGATGTGCTCTGCTGCACAGAGTCACTGTGATTGTAAAGAAAGGTTTTCCACTCATGTGACCTTTAAAGTACAGTTTTCAACAGCACTAATAATGGTACTGAAATCCTGCAGGCCAGGGGAAGGTGAGGTTCATGCTGTCTGTCTGTCTGTCTGTCTTTTCAGTTCCGTGCTTTAGCCCCCATGTATTACAGAGGCTCAGCAGCAGCCATTATAGTGTATGACATCACAAAAGAGGTAAGAAATTTATCCTTATCCAGCGTTACAATTTCTGTTTTGTTTTTTCTGTGTCATGGGCCAGTTCTGACTCTTAATTGCTTCTGGTTTTGTTTTTTTTTTTTCCCCCATCAGGAAACATTCTCAACATTAAAGAACTGGGTTAAAGAGCTTCGCCAGCATGGACCTCCCAACATTGTTGTAGCTATTGCAGGAAATAAGTGTGATCTCAATGATGTGAGGTAAATAACTGTTGTCAGGTTGGAGGTTTTCCCTGAAGCCCATAGTGCTAAATGTTTGAGGATTTCAGAGCAGCTGAAAGCTACAGAACAATTTAAGCTGTTTTGCTCTAGCACTGTAGTTTCACAGGGGATTTGAGCTGTTTCTACTGTCAGAAGATGTGGTTAGGCTGCCCTTGGATGGTCTTGCCCACTTCCTCCCCAGTGCTGCTGTGAGTAGATGTGTGATTGGCAGTAAATGGGACTGTAAAATGGATCCAGATTAAAACTAACCCCTTAAAAAAAATAAAAAGAGAACCCATCCAAGTGTATTTATCTTTCTCACACCATGAACACTCGCTGGCATAACAGTGTGGGGATAGCAGGGTTAGGAATGAGCAGTTTACTGGGAGACAGGATTACCTTTTCTGGTGGCAGTGCCAAGTTACACAAACCTAAACTGCCTGTGAAACTATAGTGTAATAGAAGCTGTTTACCTCACTCTGTAAGAAGTGCCCCTGTCAGTCTGTAGCACCTCATTTTGTTAGGAAAAATATCAAGCCTGTTGGAAAGCATTGTGTAGGTTTTTCTGACTTGCTTGTTCAGGTGCCTTCCTTCCCTGCTCAAATATTGGGGTGGAATTGGCTGTGGCCAAAATAGTTGCAGGGAGCGGGAAAAGCTCTTGAGAAATTTTATGAACAGCCAAACTTTCAAGAAGGCATGTACTAAAAACAAAAGAAGGCTTTTTTTATTGATGTCCTGGTTTAATAAGCCAGAGTTCAGAAAGAAGGTGTGTGTAAACTTCTTGGGTTTAGATTTCATTGGAAAAGGTACCACAGCTGGTGTCTCAAAGGAGACAGATGGTTCTGTGTTTAAAGAACCACTGCAAGGGGGGTTCTTGGAATAGTTTTACAAATTGTTAATATATAGCAGTCATCTAGTGAGCTCTAGTAACTTCTGTTACAAGTAGCATGTCTCTTGAAGGACATACAGCTTAAAACTACTTGGAACAGTGTTCAGATTCACACTCATTTCTTGGTGCTTAGGTGGCAATCATGAATTATGTAAACATTACTATTCAAGCTAATGAGCAAGACTCCTTGTACTTTAGTGAGAGGCAATATTTGAGTCACTGATCAGTGTGTGCTCTTGATATTCTAAAGTTTCTCATTACTGAAAGTAGCCTGTGTTTTGTAGAAACTGTATGTCAAGTGATGCAACATATAGTCCAGACCTCTCTGCACCTATTAGGGCTTGGTTTTTTCAAGTTGTTTAAGGAACTTACTTCATTATCAACTTGCCTACTTTGGGGTGCAGAATAACTATTCCACTGCTGGGCTCTGTGGTTGTGTACTCAGTGTAAAGATGTTCCTCTTTATAGCTACATCTTCATGCAAAGTAAATGCTGCCCTAATGATTTGTGCAGTGTTGGGAGATACTTGGGTTTGTAACCAGTTGTAGGAAACACTCCAGATCTTTGGAATTGATGCTTTAGGATCGTGTCAGCACATCTAAAGCTGGTGAGTGTGTGAGTAACACAGCCCAGAACAATTGATTGCAGACTGCACTGAGAGCACTCAAGACAAAACCTCTGCAGTGTTGTCAGATGGATTAAGGCCTTGCTTAGTTTAGGATTGTGCTCAAACCTCAAGGCAGGGAGACAGCACAGAGTAAAGAATGAGCATCAACTTCAGCATGAGGGAGCACTGTGATGCCAAACATCACAGTAAAATAGAAAATACCCTTTACAGGAGACACTTAAAAGCCTAATCTATCCCTTAAGGTTTTGAATAATGAGGGGGTTTTGCACTCATGGTTTTTTCTTTGCTTTGTTTTTCCAGAGAAGTCATGGAAAAAGATGCTAAAGACTATGCAGATTCCATTCATGCAATATTTGTAGAGACAAGTGCGAAAAATGCAATAAACATTAATGAACTCTTTATAGAAATTAGTAAGTATTGAAACAGTTAATATACTTTCTTCTGCAACAAGTTCAAGTAGAAATTTGATTTCTTTATTACTTTTGTGCTATTGAGGTGTGAGTATACTGACCTAAATTTTTTACAATCAGACATGAATACAGACTGCAAAATGAGCTGCATGAATTTTTGGTCATCTAATGACCTCTAAATATTCCTTCTAGAGATTTTAAGCCTACTGTGATGCTGTTGGATAAATAGCAAGCAGGGCACTCATGTCAGAATTCAGTCTCATCTTACTATGTCTGTTACTGAATGTTTCAATTAGCACTTCCAAGGTCATGGAGGGGAAAGGAAAAGGCACGAGGAAGATCCAGACTTTATATATCTGAGAAAAGGAATTAAGTTCTTGCTCTTAGTGTTTGTACTTGGTCTAAAAAAGTGCATTTTTAAAAACAGAAGGATTCATAAATGCCAAATTATTGCATGAGAAATAGCAACTATTGCATGTAGATTTTCCACGAGTATTTTTGTGGTATCTTGGGGCTTTTTTATATTAAATTGCAAATCTTTTCTGTCTCATTTGTGGTGGGGACAACAATGATACTTTTTATGCTTATGAATAAAAAGCAGACAGTATTCCAAAGTGAATTCCATGCAATATTATTTGGGGCATATGTGGCAAGTAGCAACACCAATGTGCAGGTACATCAGCCTGCCTGTGAAAATAGGGCTAAGTACAGAAATGTTAGACTTAGGAAAAAAAATAGGTCTTTCTAAACAGCTGAATATATTGAAGCTGATGTAAAAAGTATGTGCTGTAGATTGGCTTCCTGATTTACTGACTTAATAGCTGCTCTCTAAAATTGATCTTGAATAAATCACAGGGGGGGAAAAAAAAGTCATAAATCCTTCTCAGAAAGGAATACTCAACCAGGAGCAGTCCATTTTGAAGACTGATGAGATGACTAAAGCTGCTCTCTCCACAAGCACCTCGGTGCTAAGCCCGGTGCGGGCGATCTGTGGAAATATGGGTCAGGATGGGAGTTCTCAATGAAGATATTCCAGATGGCATTGCATCCTGCAGAGTGTGTGCTCTGAGTGCTTTTACAGCTCAGCTGGCCAGGTCTAGATGAGCCTGAAGAGTAAACGCTGCTAAATGAGCTCCAAACTGCCTGTGCTCCTCCTTTGTGCAGCTGTACCTCTGACAGACACGATGGAGACTCCTGCTGCCATCCTCTTAGGCAGCTAATGTCATACAGCTAATTGAAGGCGCATCTTTATACACAAAATATACACTGAGTGCTTAGAATTGGTCTCAAGTATAACATTTGCTCTAAATTTCCCTTCCTGCCTCCTTGTAGGTCGCAGAATTCCATCGACCGACACCAACCCCCCATCCAGCGGGAAGGGCTTCAAACTGCGGAGACAGCCATCGGTGACGAAGCGCAGCTGCTGTTGACCGACCCCCTTAGAAAGTCAAACTTGTTCCTACAGTAGGTGGTCTTGGAAGTTCATAGTTCACGTTGGGTTTGTATTCTCAGTCTTAGATCTTTATCTGCTGGTGTTCATACGCCCGGGGTCCCCCCCCAAAAAAAGGGACCAGCTCATCCGACAGCCGCACGCTGGCAGACAGGACTGCAGCCGCGATGCCGTGGGGCGTCTCTCGCGTTCAAAGGGAATCCGTCATCACTTTTTTTGGCCTTGCCTGACAGGAAGGTGACTTTATGGGTGGTAGAACTGAAAGGTTTAATAGTTTTCTAATCAAGGTTTGAGGAGGTTTGTCTTTGTTTGTTTTTTTTTTTGTTAAAAAGGGAAATGAGCACTTTTGTGGGACATCAGGGTGGGAGGAGTCTGGAAGTTAGATGTCATTTCTTCCTTTTCTTCAGTGAGCCTTATTTTAAATTTAAGTGTAGCTAATCCAAAGTGTGGTGGGACAGTGGTGTGAGATGGCTACAGAATAAGCAGCTGAAGATAAATAGTAGGTAAATCAGTCCATCCAGTCCCCAAATCCCATTTGCACTTTTTATTTAAAGATGATATGCTCTGGGGGTGGGGACACAAGCAACAGATATTAAACCACAGACAATCTTTCTTTCATGCTGACTGTAATCACTTTAAGGCAAAATGATATGCTCATAGGCATCTTTTTGTTCTCAAAAGTTTTTTAATATTAAGATGTTGGTTGAAGAAAACCTGCCTGTAGTTCTGACTAAATTAAGTGGTTACTGACTAAAAACAGATGCTGTAAACAGATGCTGCCAGTGGTTCTGATGAGACCTACAGGTTTTTGGGGAAAGCTTTTGATTTCTTGGCATGTGTAAAGTGTTCATAGTATATTTATGAGACCAGTGTTTAAAGTATTATAAATTATGTAAAAATGGTAAAAAATAATGCAATCTTCTACACTCCTTCCATTCCACACCTATGGATAAACCCTTGGGGACTCTCCATCAGGTTTTTTTCCTGCATTTTAGGTATTGTCACTGTGAGTTCATCCAGAGGCAGATGAAATTCTTTCTCTTTCAATCACATCTGAAAGGGCCAATAGAGAATGCTGTCAGTGCAGCATGAGGACTGTCTGTTGAACAAGCTTTCATCTGGGGTGCACCCAGTCTTTCCTATTTTGGGCACAAAAATACAAATAGGAAGTAACCTTAAGACACGTGGTAACGTAGATCGTTACCACTTGGTTCCTGGGGTTTTTCATCTGTGAGGGGTTTTAGCAATTCAGTGTTTAGCTTATTCTGTATTGGTTTTAGTAGGCTTTCAATTAAACCATAGGTTGACCATACCTGTTTGTGCTATTTTATTTATTTTTACTTTTTGTTTCTTACCAGCACTAGTGAGAAACTTTTATACTTTTGAAGAAGAAGAGCTTAATAGACTTGAGTATATACTAAAATATGCTGTTTAGCTTTAGTATCAAAATGAGGTCATGTTGATGATGCTTATTCTTTGTTTTTAATCTGGTTTTCTATCATCTCAAGTATTTTCTCTGAAGGAAATGTAAGAAAGTTTGTAAGAAAGGAAAGGACTCGTAGTTCAGATTAGTTTGTATCCGTGACAATTCCCGGAGAGCTGTTCTGGAGCAAAACAGGCAAACTGTTGCAGTGAGGTTCCTGAAAGGGTCAGTATGTTTGATGAAATTTGGTGACTACATTTCTGTCATGCCTTTTGCTTACCCTGCCTGCACTGCCAATGATGCCTTCTTTGCCACACACCCAAAAAGTACAACTTCCTTGCATACTCCCTGTCCTTTTGCAGTTCTGATCCTGAATTACTGCAGTTAATGAAAAGATGGAAATAGCCAGTGTTTGAGATTGTCTAAACTACAAACCCTGGAGGGAGGCTGCTCTTTAACTCTTGCCTGTTTAAACTGACAGACGGTTGATGTAAGTTCTGAGTCAAGAGAACTGTTTATTGATCCATTGGCCCCAGCTGGAAGCTGCAATAGTCTTCCCTGGATGAGATGCACATGTTGATTGCTTCATTTTTCTTGGAGAAGAATGGTTTCTTTTGTATTAATAATTTGTCAGGTCATCTGCTTTCATCTTGCACTAGGCTTGCTGGAATTGATTTTATTTTGTCCTAACATAGCTTCTCTATTTGGTGATACATTAGTATTTGAGTGTTTGGAGAGCTGATTATCAACTGTTCCAGCTAAATTTTTTAGTAACTTTTTTCTGTGAAGAAGTTGTTAAAAAAGCTCAGGATTGACATTTTTATTCCACCATATCTTTCTGCTTAATGAGTGGAGCTCATCAGAGAGACCAAACTTTCAGGTGCTCTCAAAGGGAATTCCACAATCACAGAATGGGTCAGGTTGGAGGGGAGCACAGTGGGTCATCTGGTTCAACTTCCCTGCTCCAGCAGCATCTTCCCAGAGCACATGGCACAGATTAATTCCTGCAAAACAAGTCTGGAATGGTAAAGTATTGTGTATGTAAAAATGTAGCGAGGTGCATGTCATAGCATTGATCCAGAGTAGTTTTTTTACTGACAAAATATAACTGTTTCAACTTCTAAACAACACCACTACCATTTTTTCACGTGCAAGTTACAGATTTGAACAAAAATATAATTTGGTAAATATTTAGTTCTTAAGCTTTGGAGCAACTTGAATGTGCTCCCCAAGTTTCGGGAGGTGTCTTCATCCAACCCTCTAAATTACAAAGCCACTTGGCTGCCTTGCCAGGCTCCTGATCTGTGCTGTAGGTAATTTTGTAGGATATTTTTTATCCATCCTGAAAACTGGCACAACTAAATGCCCAAGAAGGCAAAATCTGGAAACTTACATTTAATAACATGAACGTCTAGTAATCCTACTACTGAAAATTGTTACAGGTGCTTTGAAAAGCTCCAAGACAATTCTAACACCTTTTGCTGTTGCCAAGAAGGTAAAGACTTTGTTCTTAGGTCCATGTTGAAACAAAACAAATCACTGCTCTTCAGAACCCCGCTGACATCAGTGAGACCCTTCCTTTAAGTGTTGCAGGATCAGACAGTTAATGGTTTAGAAGGATGTTTTATGCAGACTTGAGTCTTTGATGTGTTGCTTTACATTTAATGCCACTGGCCTGCTCAAGAAAGATTATTTATTTGCTTGGGAAAAGAGTAAGAGGAGAGGAGACAGTGCCTGCTTACTGATTTGGAAGTCTAATCCTTTAACCTGATTGAGGGAGAGCTACATTTGTGGTTAAAGCTTCATTTAATTATCAAGAAGTAATTCAGGGTGGATATCTTGGATGGTTTAGAAGTTGGCCTCAGCAACACTTTTTTTGTTATGCTGTTAAGCTTAAATTATTCCTCAAAATTAGTGTTAAGTTCCAGTATAAGGTAGTATTAGTTGGAAAAGGAAGCTGTAGCAGTGATGTTTGAATGACTTGCTTGTGGAACAGTCTTTAGTGTGTATTAAGGGTGTTGTAGTCTATTTGTGGTGTGCTGTGTCAGCAATCTGCAAAGACTGTCTTGGGAATTGCTGCTGGACAGGACAGAAGCTGTCAGAACAGTGGAGCCTCACTGAGTGAACCTCCCTCACAGCAGCAATAGCTACAGACAAGCAGGGAAAAATCATCTCAAACACGAGGAGAGCCTGCATCATTCACTGACTTCAATTCTATACTGCCTGTTCAGTTCCTAAAAAGGCTTCATGTATCTCTTGTGAACACTTTCAACCTCTAGAAAAAAAGAGGCTTTTCTGTCCATGGACAAGAGAGCAGGACAAACTTTCTTAACTTTCCTGGCAGGAAGTGGTTTTACAGAGACCTGGGATTGTTTATACCCCACGAGTCAGTTACTTGAAGCAGGAGAATTGTGTGCTTGGAATTAAGCCTCTAAAAAAGTCTGCACAAAATTCTCTGAAGAAAACTGTTAATGTTTTATGTTCAGATCCCATCCCTAGTAATAGATCACTAGTAATGGTAGTTGACAGAAGATTTACAGAAATAAGATGTTGGTGTGAAATACTAATGTCAGGTGGAAACACAGGTTCTAATATTAAAAAAGTCATGTTAGCTTTCCTTTGAGTCTTATGGCTCCAGCTTGTCAAAAGGAATGTGCTTGAAACTACATCTTTGTATATCCTACAAAATTCAGGTGCCAAAACATAATTCCCTAACATTATTGAGGCCTTTTGACACCAGTGTTTCTGAAACATCCCTTGTGATATTCTGGAGGTCTCAAAAGTCTGAATGCTGAGCATTTCTTGCTCAGCTACAGTCAAACATTCATGACTTGGAAAAAATCAAACAAACATTACCAGACTTTGTCCATGAAGTCTCACAGATAACAAATCTTTTAAGGGATACAAGACTATCCTGAAATCCAAGAATACTGATGCTCTTAGCCTCTGACATGTCAAAATGATCCTAGGGTCAGCTTTTTCCTCCTTCCCCCTCCCATTTCCCCTCACCCCTGAATTTTTAATATAGTGTTGTCAAGAGTGTACATGCCATAAACAGCTATTCAGAAATACTTTAAAGAGTTCTAATGGCTCAGAGTTATTTGGTGCTTTCTATTTTACATGGAAAATCAAGGCAGTAGGATGACTCTTCTCAGTCTAGAGTCAGGACTTCTTAGAAGAAACAATTTTGCTGTTCCTGTTACATCATCCTGCAAGTTGATGTTCTTCAATTTTTGCTTAAACACTACTATAAATTTTATTCAAGGAGCTAATTACCTTTGTAAAGGTGTTCTTTTAAGAAGGTCGGGGTTTCCTTTGCTTTGTTTCTATTGATGTTTTCACAGAAGTATTATGGAACAAACCAACTGCTACTTCTTTTCCCAATGCTGAAGGGCACAGACCACTCCTCCTGTGTGGGTGTGATACTCCATCCAGTTGTTGCACTTGGACATGCTGTAACTCTGACACCTTGGTAGATTCACTGCTACTGTCTTGCCTCACTTCTACTCATGTTACAATATGTATTTCCTATTAAATCCATTATGTTTTCTTGGCAATTTGTTCTTTGTTTCCTTGTGGGGTTTAGACAGGAATAGTTTTGGCGAGTGTCTTTTTTGCCACAAAGGTTCTGGAAGTATCTGCTACAACAGCAAATATTTGTAAGCAAAGTAGAAATTCATTAGTACAGCTTTAGGAAACTGTTACAGCAGCTCAGAGCTGCACCACAACTGTATTTTTACCACATAATGAAGGCTAAAAGCACATTCACCTAAAGGAGCAAGTTATTGTAAGGCTCTAGTAACACAGTGTAAACTCTTCTGTATTTGAACTTCCTTTTTTGTACTTCCTGAATATTGTGTGTCCAGCAGTGACATTGTGACGGTGAATTAATTGATTTAAGGCACAGAAATGGATCACATTTCTGGAGCTGCAAGACACTTAAGACTTCTTGGCTATCTTCCCACTTTTACCCCCCACACTGAGTACAATGAATTAAAAAAAAAAAAAAGAAGGTTTCTTCTCAATGAGAAACTTTGCATTTGTGTGTTCAGGACACAAAAATCCCCTGATATGCAGATAGCTCTTGCAGTGTAATAAATGTTTGCCTGTAAAATTAGGTGTGAAGGTTAACCTTGGTATCAGCAATTCCTGTCCCTCGTAAGAACATTCTGCCTTTTCAGTCTGGGATTGAGTTAACCTGTTACAAGGGTTGAAAGGTCTGTGCCTTCTTATTATATTCTCTCTTACTGAAACAAACTGAAGCCGCTCAAAATTACAGAGCGTTTGCAGCACTGTAAACTGCACAAATTTCCAGCCATTGCTTCACTGCATGAAGTGTAGTCAGATTACTAGTGGTGAAATATTGTAGTGATGAATTCCCAAGCTTATGAATGTTTTGAGACTTTTTTTAGTCTTCTCTTGGGCTGGTCCTGAGAGCGTGTACAGGTTTGTCTGTATTGTTGGTTTGTAGATGCTAATGAGGAAAACCAGGCTTTTGTTCTCTCCTTTTTGTTTGAATTGTTACACTCCCATATAGTGCATAGAATGCAAATAAAGAAATGTTGATTTGACATAATGTAAACAGCCTTTTCAGCCTAAGCATTCATAATAAACTTTTATAGTGTAATAACATGCTAAATCACTACCAGTCTGATGTATTGTGCAAAAAAAAAAAAAAAGGAAAGGTGTAAACATTTTATTAATAAAAAGCTTTGTTTATAAATGTGCTGGCTTTGTTTATAAATGCTTCCAAAATTCTCAACATCTTAAAAGATAGTCTCTATAGCAATAGGGTTATAGAAGAGGAATGTCAGTAATAGCTTTTAAAATAGCATTTAGAAACTATTCAGATAGCTCTTTTCCAAAAGTACTGACTACTGGTCGTTCAGAGACTGGAGCTTTTCCCTGGTTTATGTATACACAGACAAAGGCAGGAGACAGTCTTGTGCAAAGAAGGGATGGGGGGCAACAGCAGAGAGAATGCAGCTTTTGTGGAGCACTTCCTTTCTTTGCAGCATCATGTCTGAGAAACTGCAGGCCACACACAGTCCTGTCAGCCAGGGCAAGGCCTGACAAATTCTGCCAGGGCCAAGTTATTTAATACATTGCTTTTTACCTTAGGCTGCATGAAATGTAAAATTCTCGGCTGCTTGGGCCAGGTTTCTGTCAATCAAAACCGGAAAGTGCTCTGAATATCTGCGCAGTGTCATGGGGGCCCGTCGTGCTGGGAAGGGATCCTTCTCAGTTGGTAATACAGCCAGCTGGTTGAGAGTTTGCTTTTTTTTAAACCACTGCTCTGGTGGTTATGTGGAGCCCAAAAATAGGGAGTTGGCTACAGTTACCTCGTTTGTCTTACGTGATGCTTAAAAGATGTGCTTTTGTTGTTGCAATCTGTGATGCAGGTCGAACGTGTTGAGTTAATAACAGCCTTCAAAAGCTAAGTAAACAAAAAAGTCCTGTTTCTGAACTGCTGTTTCACCTGAAAGTGTTGGATACAAGTTTTTACTAAGCAAGTGACTGCATTTCCTATGCAGGAAACACACACAGTCATCTTTTTAACAGATCTGGAATAATTTAAAATTACTGTTACCTGCTGGTTTGAAGTTCCCTCTTAGATGTGTGCAAACTGCTTTTTGAAGAGTGTCAAATGTGTTTGTATAAGGTGGCATGAACGTGCCAAAGAGAGCGTAAGAAAGGTAGACACGAGGAATGTGCTAAAATAGAGAGAAAGACACATTTGCATGTGTTTGCATAGGGAATCTAGGGAAATGCTAACCACCAGATTTGCACACACACAAGGAGAATGTTTTACTTGGATCAAGTGTTTCATAGCTTTTAAGGTAGAAGTTTTTTAGCAGGTAAAACTGTTCTTCAAGATTGTTGCAGTGCAAAGCTTTCCGATGCTCTCCAGCATTTCCCTGCAGTGTTCAGCCCGACTTTCTCCTGTTAATCAGGAACCCACCAGGGCAACAAGTTGCCTTCTTGTGGCTGCATTGTTACAGTGAGTGCTGGCTGGGTAACAAGTGTTGCAGGTGACCTCCATGCACACCTATTTCAGTGAACCTGATCTGCACAACACTAAATGTACACACAGTATTTACATGTAACAAAAACCTGACATTCACTGGCCTTCATAAATTTTCAGCTTAAACAATGCTGCGCTTTATAAAAACTTCACCCTGGATGAAAAGGTGGGCGAGTCCTTCAAACACGAGCAGGTAAGTGCCAATTATGGTAAGATGATACATCCTGGCCAACCCTTTAAGATGTGGATCATCAAACGCTTTAGGGTGTTCTTTGTACTTCTTTCAGGAAAAGTAGAACTCGGAAAGGTCTGGGCAGAACACTTAATAGTTGTTTATTTAGGGGTTTTTATTATGTATGACTATATGTTGTGTAAAGCTTTCTCTCTTATTCCTCACCGTTAGCTTGCAATTAACTTGCAGATATGTATAAAGCTTGTCTTTTCTACTAATTACTGGTCTAAGAATGCCAGGCTCAGAGAGAGAATCTGTCTATGACCTAAAACCTAAGAGATTAGGTGAAAGAAGATAACCTTTCCACAATATGAGCCAAGAAAGCTCTACTCCAAAATATAACTGAAGTCAATTCTCTCCTGACTTGAGAACTAAAATGTTATGACATAACCTGTAGTTTAGGCTAAAAATTAACCCCCTTCAAGTAGCAAAAATAATAAGCCAAGAACATCCAAGGCTCCAAATCTAATTAACTAAGCAAAATAGAATAGCAAGGACCTGGAAAAGAAAATGCACTCCTCTATCCTGTTGTGTGACCATCCTTTCTCCAACAGAGAAGGAATTTAGGGAAGAAGAGCAGTGTTTGAGTGTAATTCCCTGCATTGCTGAAGCTTCTAAAAATTGGTCCTGCTCTCCTGGCTGGAAGAAGTTCACAGGTTTCACTTGTATTATGCAAAACCAAGACTTATACTAAACACATGTATGGGTTTGGTTTGGTTTGGTTTGGCATGGAATGAAAGACATCTTGGAACAAAAAAGATGAAATGGGATGGGAGGTGGTGAAGCAGATGAGCTGAAAACCAGGGATTGTCATGGACAGGAGCAGCTGAAGGCTGAGATGTAAACACTGCAGATGTGCTCAGTGTAGGTCACTGTCCTGCTCAGGGGTGTTAATCTTAATATATTTTTATTCACCTCTCATTTGTTAGCTCATCAGCCCTGATTAGGATCCAACATAACTGGATACTTTGAATTGCTGTTCTTTGGAAGCTTTTTATCTCTGCAAATGGCATCTCCTCCAGAAGTCCTGTTTATAATATATAAAGGTCAGTTGCCTAATGAATACTTCTTGATGTATAGAAATTACCAGTTTTTAAACCAGCATGTTTCTGCTGGTACCACGGGCACCCCAAACTCCTGCCTCTGACAGGTTACAGCAACGCTTCATAAACTCTTAAGAACTTTTCAAATGTTTAAAACAACCTGAGAAGAGAGGGGAGGGGAAAAAAAGCAAACTG